TAAAAAGTGCATTGGCGAAACCAACGTTGCGTATACGCAACATCAAGTAGACGAACTTCGGTCGCAGCTGGAAGAGAGCGGGTGGACCGAAGAGGCGACTCAACTTGGCTAACAAAGTTATGACAAGGATTTATGAAGTATGCATTAAAAATGAGCAGCTATTTGCCTTTCGCCCGAGAATTTGCTAAGCTTTAAGGAAACCCCGAAAAAAAAGGCAAATAAGTTCCGTCTTCTCCTTGAAGACGTTTGCCATTCCCACGAAGCCAAAACAAAAACACTGTCGTGTGCGTCTCCGCTGTGTTGTTTGTTTGACAGATGCCGTGTGTTTGTTGTGTGTCGCGTTTGTTTGCATACAAATTCTTCAGAAGACATTCGGAGACGCCGCCAGATCCGCCACCTCCACCGCCTTTGCCTCAGTGAGAACCTGGCACATCCGCATTTGTTTGCAGAGGCAGAATACCCAGTCGCAGCCCCATTCCAGCCTCAGCCGAAGAAGAGACGGCAACAGGCAAGTGACACAAGGAAGGAGTTGTCTCTCAGGTCGGGTCTCTCAATGTGTTACGTGCCACCTTGGCTCTGCATACTCTTACAAAAACTCGCATATAAATCAGGGCCACATTTGCTATTGCCCCACATACATATTCGCCCAGACCCTTGCTCTTTCCACGCTTTCCTGCCATCTGTAAACATATCGTTATTTATCCATTTACCCATTGAATGTGACAGACAGGGAGGGGTTCCAGCGCAACAATATGTTGGTTTGCTTGCCAGTACGGAATGCACGTTAATAGCAGTACATGATGCGGTTGCGGTTGACACAGCTCTCCTGGATGCTCAATAAAATGCTAAGGCCACAAGCATCGAGGATGGGTAAAAGTCAATAGATCTAAGCAAAATTCCAGAAACTTCTTTTAATTGAGGACCGTATTGCGTATTGTTGATCCCTCTGACTTGTTTATAGGATGTTTTTTTGGTTGATATTTAGTTGATTGGATAATTCGATCATTACCGTTAATTATCCTTAACTATCCTTAATATCATAAATCATATCATAAATATCATCTGAAGAAACATCCTAGAAACAGGTCAGAGGGATCAACATAATAAACCAGTAAGTAAAATACAGTTTCTGCTTAATTAACTACTACTAAAGTCTTGAAGTCTAAAGTCTTAACTTTGGAAATTTTCTTAAAAGATTTTTTCAATATTGTGGTAACACTGACCTTAACCACACCAACATTGTCCTACAGTAGAGTTTATAGTATATACATATGTATGTAGATTTTAAAAGTACTCATACAAACAATAATCCTAAGATCATATAGTTCTTTAAATAAAGTTCCATTTACTCTTATCCTGCATTTCCACATGATAACGTCTTCCAAGTATCCCCCTAGAATGCGTTGACAGTCCCCACTTAACCCCACGAACCTTTCGTGGCACGCACCATTCTCGAATAGTTTCTGTGCTCCTCAACCTCAAACGCCACTACTTTCCCAGAATTTTTCCGCTTGCTCCATGTGAATATAAATCCAGTGCTTTGCTCACGTTTAGTCTTCACTGTCTCTCTCTCAATGGCTCTCATTATCCATGCTGGGACGAGAGTGGGAAAAATGTATTTTTATATACACATGATGAGCCCGATTTTCTTTTCATTTTCATTTTCGTAATAGCGCTCTGACAATTTTCATGTGAACTAGCAACAATTTTTCATCGTCAGTCTATGGTCGGAGCAGGTCGGAGAAGGGGAACCAGAAGGATGCAAGGACCTTCTGCCGAGCTCGTGGCGAAGCATCTCCGGCGACTGCAAGGATTTCACACACAACAAACGTAGGGCAGGAACTTGAGCAGGAAACAGGAAAAGCAACGTATCCAGCATCTCTTACTTTCGCCCATTCCTCATTCCCCTACTGGCTACGTGACGTCTTTCTCTCGAGACGTCACAAGATTTATTTGGTTGCAAGTTATGGGTGTATGTTTTTGTGGGTGTGCGCTTGCCTCAATGTGGGTGTTGTTTGCACTTGTATCGGTGTAAATATGCAAATCGCCTTTTTTGCTGCGTTGACGACTTTTTCACAGCAACGAATGTGCTTAAAATTTGCAAAATTGTAGTTCGTTTTTATATTCTGTCGATTTTCCCTCTTTTACTTTTCTCCCTTTTCACCTTGACAATTGTCCTGGGGCCATGTTTGTTTTATATATGCATATTTTGTACCTCAGTAGATTTGATTTCGGCTCTCCAGCATCCCACACGTGTTCGTTGATCCTCACAGATGCAGTTTTTCCTCCTTTGTATTGCTGCTTGCCGGAAGTTCGAATTCCCTCCTTCTTTCTCGTACATATACATATTCTTGATAACAGCAGCTTGAGCCCCTTAGACTTGGTTTTTCTTTATGGCCGATGGACAATTTCGGGTTCATAAAAAGGCTGTTAAGTCTGGAGTTCTCTATCTCTTGCACCTCCTCTTTTTTTTAGTATTAGATTTGATTATATGAACTAGGAAAAAGGCTATTTTGTAGGAGCGCTGCTCCAGGCTACTTTCTAGCTATAAGTAAGGTTTTACGTGGTTGGGTAGAATCATTACTAGCATCTAGCTCACAAGCTGCTACATATATTCAAAATAATTATGCATTAACTTTATATGCACAACTTTTTATACAATTTTTTGAGAGTATTCAAACGTCTAACAAGGCCTTCAAATTTGCCTCTTGATTTCTTATTTTTATTCTCTTTAAATGCCATTTGGCAAGTGGTTACCCAGCCTCAGGTAAGTCTGCAGCCTTTTTCTCATTCTATACGAGTTAAAACTTTTTATGGGAATTCATTGCCTGTAGCTTAATTGAAAATTAAAAAGGTAGACATAAAAAATTAAAATTAATTTCGTGCCGTTTGATCAGAATCAGTTTGACCCCATTGTTAGACTAAAAAGGGATCGGATCGGGGATTGTTATACCCCTTTTCCATCGCCTTAATATCGGGGCCCAAAGTGTGCGAGCTAACAGTTAGGAAGCGAAGCCTAATATTAAAAATGCGTGCCTACACCGAAGTTCTCCTTTGTGGACGATCTCTTAAAGTTAGTGCTGGAAAAGCGCCCAACGTGGTCATGAAAAGGTTATAAAGGGACAGGGCCGAACGAGCTAGAGGGACGCAGCAAAATGGCAAGCGAAAATTGCAGCTGCCAAGCAAACACATGGAAAAACCGCAGCAGCCACTTCCGCGACTGCCAGTCCGAGAATCCCCTAAAACCCACACTTACCGCCCACTCCCCAGCAGCCTCATTTGGCGGCCTGTTGCGGTAAAGAGAACAAAAAAATAGCAATTGAAAGTGGTCGTGCAGTGCCGTAGAAACTCAGCTCTGTCCCATTGTTTTGCCATAAAATCATAAAAGATTTTTTAAATTTAACAAGTTTCTGTGTAATAGAAAAATTGTAAAATATTTAGATATTATTATCAAATTGTGCTTTTCTATTTTCTCTATTTACTGTGTGTACTTTTAGGTTTTAAAAGATTTGGACGGTTTGCAACATTTACAAGTAAGCCCTATAAATGGACTACATCGGTTATAAGTAACCGGCTTTTGCATCAGATTCACTCATATAACCACACAAAATATTGTTGATTTACAACATTCTTGTTGTTCAAACTGAAGTGATATTCATGTCCATCATGTTGCCACATCCGAACTTTGCAGGGTAGAATAACAACGGCAGAGTTGGCAAAAATGTTTAAACAGCTGAAACACAAAGGACAAAATGAACATATTCGAGGCAGGGCTGTACCGGTGGTCGAACCACAAAATCTGTCGCCTTAAACCAGCTTAGCGACTAAAGCGCTTCACAAATGTTGCCCCAGGCAGACTTTTAAGCGAGCGAGCACTGCGTATCCTTTGCCCTGGAGACCTAGGCCATAAGGGAGCTGCTGCCATGCAACGAGTAGGGTTAATTTTCCTGTTAAACTGCAGCGACAAGTGTGTGTTTTGGTATAGGTATTTTCGAGGCACGCTTTGAGGCGCCTGCGGTAGTGCATTGCCAACGCCACAAGCAAAGTTTTGGCTCTATGGGTACACACATGTTCGTACAGATGTTCATTGCCCTGGAATTTTAGTTTGTGGGTAAGGGAGCAAGCGTCGAACATTTCGAGCTAACAATGAAACAAATACATGCTTCTTAAGCAGACTGTCTGATAACTCCTTAATTGTAATAATAATAATAAATAATTATTTATCAACTATGTACAGGAGTCTGGGTGGAGCGGTTACATCCAAAAATCTGTTACGACTAAGCATCGTTGGCTGTGTTCCCCAAGGGAACCGCCATATATGCAAACGATTTGTCGGTAAATAAGCACTAGAATGCCATTGCGAAAAGAGGGCACACCTTTAGAAAAACCACAAATGTCTTTTCATGACTGCAATTTAAATAAATGGTTTTCCATTACATAGTATATATTGCGTTGTTTTGCCTAATCGATTTGTACCAGTAACTTTTTCTCCCAGCAACACCCCGCAGGAAAAAACCTCCTGCTAGTTCTCCACAGGCGCATTTCGGGGGAGTTGTAGTTGCAGTCACAGCTTGTGACATTCCCAGTGTTGTTGCTAAATTGTTAAATAAATCAAAATCAAAATCCAAATCATGCAGACCAGACGCCCAGTCCTAAACCCCTCAAGCTCTCAAACTGGCACGCCAAGTGCCAATTTCATGACGCTTCGAGTGTGCCACAAATCCAGAGTGAGAGAGAGGAGAGTTCAGTATGTGCATGTATGTATGGTTGAGGGGGTGAGTGAGTGGGAGGATACTGTTATTGATGTGCTTTTAATTGGGGTTCGTACGGGTACGAGTACGAGTACGAGAGTGCCTGCTCCATGTTGCTGTCACATTTCAGTCTGCTGTCTGCCCGTCTCAGGCTCCACCCGGCTGTGTCTCCGTCCTGTCTCCTGTCACATTGTCAAATCATTTGACTCATAACGGAATTTTATTAGTTTTCCAGTATTCCACACTTACCGGTAGTCGACGTGTGTGACATGCAAATGGTCAACACCAAAACGGCCAGGCTGATGGACCCGTAAATTCCAAAGATCTTCCCCAAATCTGGCCCCCTCCAGGTCCGCCGTCGTCCCCGTCGCTGCTGGTTGTTATTGCATTTTTTCCTGGACTTCTGTAGATCTGCTCCAAAATTCTCCTCCCTGCAGAGCCTCAGCAGCGACAGCTCCGAATGTGCCATTGTTGTGTGCATATTTGTTGCTGCAATCGAAAAAGGAATTATAAAATTAGCACGATATTATCAATTGTCATACAGGTTTCTTTAAGGGCAAAGTCATCCCTTTTCCATTTAATATGCAAGTTTCCGCATAAATAATTTATCCAAGTTTTATGGATTTTTCTTAATTTATGCCAAGGGCTGCTGCTACACCATCGCATCAGAAAAAGTTTTGGCATTACAAAAAGTCAGCAAAAAAATTGCTTTAATAAAATTCTGGTAAAAGTTCAGAGCGCCAAAGGGACCAAACAACCGAGAGAGTTCAAGGGTCAAGTCGATTGTTACCAAAGTATTAATTGAAAAAAGTTAATTGCGAACTAAGAGCCCAATGGACCATGGGAAACCCTTCACTATCATTTTTGCAAATTCTCATGTTAGAAACTTACGATTTTAGACAACAGTTTGTTGCGACAACTGCGACAGCTATTCATACATAGCTGTATGTATATGTATTTTGCATTTTGTAACGAATTTATCAAACAAACCACTTTTAACAGATGCTTACGAATTTTAGTAAGTAATTAAGTTCTTTTTCGATAAACCACTTATTAATTAAATATTAATTCCGAATTCATCAATTCCCATAATCAATGTTCTTATTCAGCACCAATTGCAGGTGGAAAAGTATTTATTTAAGTATTATTTAAAATTTATTTCCTTTCCATAATTTTAGCAGTTTGCCGAAAAAACATTTAAATGAGAAATTATATTAGAATCAAATCAAATTTTAATTAGTGTGCAAATATGGCGGCGGCTGGATTTTTTTAAGATTAACGTAATGCCAGTACTAAGCTAAATATAATCCACTAATAAACTTTTACATTTATATAAAGATGTTAAACTTTTCATGATAAGAAACTAGGATATCAGGTATGCCTGATTATCAGGTTAATGGTTGCCATTAAAAAATTCTACTAAATTAGCAGTCAGAGTCCTTATACATACATACATATGTGACAAATTAATAAACTTTAAATTTATCTGTAAAAATGCATTTATATATGTATATATATATGTAGGTACATATATATGTATGTACATGAATGCAATTCGCGTAGAATTAAGTCAGATTCTAGATTCTAGAACAATGCAAAATGTTGAACACTTTGAAGCATATTAAATATTAATTAGTGTGGCGTGTGCATACAAGTTAATTAATGTTTTTTTACGCCTTTGGTGTTAATAATAAATGAACGTGAGTGGAATTTGATTTCATCTCCCTCGCTTGCTGTTTGCATCTGAGTGTCTGATTTAAGGATAATCTGGCAGATTGGGTACAAAAATAAATATTTAATCAATCTGTTGGGGAGTCGATATGGAAAAGTGGCCCCAAGAAGTAAAGTGATTCTGCTGTAGTGTAGGACAAAGAAGATATTGAAAAGATTTTAAATTGTAGCTTTTAAAAAGACTTTACTTTGGTTTCGAACTATCTCGCAAAATTCATGAGAATCACATTTTCATAGACTTTTAGCTCTTGAATTGTTGCTTTCAGTTCCATCCAGTCTCATTCCTTAGGTAAATATTGTCTCGGCATCATAGGATTCCAAATTGTAGCCTTTTTTTATTTTACACGGAATTAATTCTTAAAACAGATATTCCAGTTACTTTTTGGACTAGTTGGTAGCAAGGAAATGTCTCGTAATTTTGGTGAATTTATCTTTATTTTCCTTGGAATTAGTTGTGTTAACTTTCTGTATTCAAAACAGGGCCAGGACCAGGCGCATACATGCTGCCTAGCCAGTTTGGCCAGGGGGCAGGCCGCGGACCTCAATACTCTTTCGGGCGTCGGACTGATTACAAAAATACCGACAAAGCCGGGCCTGGACCTGGACCTGCCGCATACAAGATTGACAAAGTCACTCGATACGGCAGGTCAAACGGGCTGCAGTTTTCGATGTTGGAGAGGAATCCTATTAAGCCGACTAAAATAAGATATGATTGAGGTCCAGTCCACTAAGATGTTTTGCAGACGCAGTCTGGCGGCAGCATCGAATCTGTACCATTTCGACTACAAATAAAGCTAAACAACCTGTCAACTAATATCAGGCTCATCTAGCAATTTACTTTATAATGAATGGCATGGCAACTGTGATTACTAATCGTACATATTTCCCTGGGGCTCCGTAATTAATGCGATGACACACTCCGTTGAGATGCGTCGAATGCAAATCAGCAGCGAGGAGCGCGGAGCGGGAATAATGACAATCCGAACAATTGAAGTGCAGGACAGAGACAACAACTTGTTGAAGTAGAAAAGCCTTTCGCTCAGGACCCTTCACTCTGAAGGGTTTAAAGTGCACTCCAACTGTTTTGCTTTGTAACTGCGGCACTGGGCCTGAATGGGGTACGGAGAATGGAGGCTGCAGGCTGGAGGCTGGAGGCTGGATACTGGGGAGCTGTAGGAGTGTAATGAAGCCGCCGGGCAAGCTCTTAAGTAACTTACTCCTCCGGCTCAGTGACTGACTGACTGGCCACTGGCCACTGGCCAATGGAGCCAGTGCCTGGACTCTAAGCGAAAGCCTGTTATTTTCCCCGCGTCTTTTAATAATCACACAGTAAACAGGCAACAGACAGAAAACACGACTGGGACCGGGACTGGACTTCATCGTGAGAATGCCCAGCAGAAAACCAAAGAAAGGAAAGGGCTTTGGACTAACTGATGTGGTCGCTCCCCCATCCCGAACCCGAACCCGTCCGCGGCCCCAGCCCAAGCCCAGTTGTAATTGCAACGTCAACGTAAATGCATGAGGCCAGGCAGCAACTGAGGAATTTCACGGATGTGCGTGCATCTTGCAGATGCTCCTGCCCCTCACCGGGGCTCAGACGGGGACAGAAGGGAAGAGATGACCACGGCTGGATATCACGTATTCACACAGACATCCAGACTGGGACCCGACCCGCATTTGATTGCATTTTCGCCTGCATGATGGGGCACTGGACTGGGAGCTGAAGATGGCAGATTATAGCCAGCGTCAAACCCGCTCTTCCTTCAAAAGATTTATCTGTGCGCGTTTATTTTAATGTTACGTTCCGGAATCTTTTCTTATTTTTTGTCTGTTTGGCTGCTCTTCTGGTCAGATACTCAAGACGTACTCTTCGGTGGGGGTATTACGACAGAGTGGAAATGTTTGTCATTTGGGAACACCACATGTCGAGTAAGAGTATTCTATAATCAGAATGAATGCTTAGAACAGAACGATAAAGTCTCCTAGTCTTTTTCGCTCTTCTCTAATTATATATATTATCTTAAGTCTAACCAATTTAAGGCTGCTCCCAGATATGAGCTCATTAGTTTGTTATTTGTTCCGAGGGCACGTCTGCAGTTCTCCACTTCTATTGGCACATCAATCGTTATTGGGAAGTGCACCTAATCTTCGGTATGACAGTTTGAGTGCTGGCTGGCTTCTTGTTTGGTTTGGTTAAGCAGCCTCTTTCAATGCATTGCCAAATGGTGGATGTCTTTGTCTTTATGAAGCTGTAGATTGCCTGCATCACCTCCTTGTCAGTACCAACATCTGCTGCAGCCACAGAGGAGCAAGAGCTGGCAGCAGGCAGCAGGGAGCAGGAGCAGCAAAAGAGCATTTCTTGACGTGGTACGTTGACCGCCTGGAATGTTGATTCATCTTCTTTGGTATGACTGCTGGCAGTCCCTGCTGGACGGCCACTCTCTGTTTTTTTAAAAGTCCACTTGCTCTTTTATGTCAATCATCAGTTTGGCATGCTGCATCGTGCACGCCGCATCGGGGCTGGCTGCTCCTCGTTTATGGGCCATCATCATCATCGCCCTCAGCGCCGTTGGAAAATGGTGGCTTCTATTTTTAGTGGGCCACAAGCCTCGCTTTCGCCTGCTCTATTCTATTCCTGACTCTCCCCGTATGTTAGTTAGATATTCCTGTGCTTGTATTCCGTACAACCCATAACAAGCGAAAATTACCTTTAAGTGGCACAGGGCTTGTGCTGGCAATGGAAATGCATTCTTCGCTATTTTTAGCACGATCTCTGCCTGTCGGGCTGTTAAATGAGTAGTTGGAGAGAACTTTGCAGGCCCAACTGATCGGAGTACTCGTAGATAATTGTATATGGGCATAGAATTTAATTGCATTTAAATGCTACCAGGCGGGGCTGCAATCGAAACCCCCACATAGTGGACAACGAATAATATCGTGAGATTTGAGCATCCCATCCTCCTACGCCGAAACCCTTTGCGTAGGTTCCATCTTCTTCACCACAACAACCCATTCTCCTAAGCGTGGGGAGGGGGGCAGATTGGCTTTTAGGCAATCAAGAACATGAGGGACTATTTGCCCAGTTAAATATGTTTACGAGTATTGTAAGCAATATTAATTTGACAGCCGATGGCAATTCATTTCCACGGATCAGGCACACACGTACATACCTTTGATTGAAGGGTCATTACAGGGTTATGTATATTTGTACGTATTGAAGGAAGTCTGGACAGGCGGTATAGAATGCTAGTTGTTGACCTCACACAACAAACTCGCAAGTGTTTTGTTTTGGTTTAATTATTACGTTTCCGATTTTGATTGAAAATGCTACAATCGGTGCCGAATCGGTGTTGCCTCTAACCTCCCCTTGATTAGCCATAATCGACCCTGTTAGAGGCACGTGACTTGTTTAAGCGATTGCTTAAAATTCTTTGCACACAAAATACATACGAGTACACTCGCACTTAAAAAAAAACCGCAGAAAATTAAGCTAACATAATTAAATTGACCTAATGGAATACTCCTCTGGTATACTTAAATTAAAGGTGAGCCCAATTGTTGGCGAAACAAAAACGAAGCAATTAATGGGCATTGAGTGTATTTGGGAACAAGTTCAAGCCAGCTACGGTTTTTAGGGCTCTGTCTACGTAAGAAATCCCCATAAACCTGCTGTAAGATATTCTGTTGCCTCCCTCTGGTCTCTGGTCAGCTTACCCTAAGCCAGCGCATCAAAACTTTTCAAGATTTTAAGACCCATTTAATGTGAGTCAAAAAGTCAATAAACCCAGTCAGACCACACATCCACGTCCCTGTGTTCCTTCCTGCTGCTCGGCGGAACGGGAAAACAAAAGTGGAGCAACAAAAACCTGTCACGTACCACAAAAGTGCATTCGCATTTTGAAAGCCAACGCAAGAAAGCGAACTTTCGGTGTTTCGTCGCTGGAGGGGGGCAGAGGAGATTCCGTTACCCTGTTCCATCGATACATGAGATACATTTCTATCTTAAAGCTGTACGAATGTCTTTGCCTTGTCTGGGCTGGGCTCTGTTGGTAGCTTCCAACTTTCGTTGTTGGCCAAAGACAAATTCAGTCAATTACTTCATTATGCGTTGAGGTTTTCGGGTTCGTCTGTCTGCCAGTCTGCCTCTGTGGGTTGGTGTCGGCCCTTCTCTGGTCGTGCCTTCCTTTGGGTCCTTTCTCGTCTGTCTTCCTGTTGTCGTCTGCCATCAGGTGAAAGGCAAATAAAACGTCAATTTGTATTGCCAGTTGTGTCCTTTTCCTGGCATGTATTCATATGCACATTACATATTCTGAATTTATTCATGCCTTGGGCATAGCCTTTCTGTGTCAATAATCATTTACATGTTTATCTAATTTGGGCGGATTTTTTCCGTCTTTCTGAGGCTCCCTGAATAAATAGGAGTGGCAGGAAGGAGGAACTTCTTGAACTTGAAACGAAATTGATAGACTGATATTACTCTCATTATTGCTGGCAAATGTGGGCCAGGCCAGACATATAAATGTCTGAAACTTTCAGATGATTTTTTACTGCGCTACTTCTGAGCTGCAAAAGTAGTATTCAAATTTCCTCCTCTCCCTCGTTCGCACCGCAAAACGAGTTGATGACCAAGCCACAAAAATGTACACTGGAGGTTGTAAAGCGAATCACAGGCGAAAACCCAAAAACGAAATCCACCGACACAATGCCAATGAATCAGATCGGTCCAGAGCGGCAACTTTGTTGTTCCCGGTTGTCATCGACGTCACTGTCAGTAAATATTACTGCAAATATTACTGTTTTCGTATGCGAATTTTCATTTTGACACCACAAAAGCAACTGCCACAGGCACAGATTGTTTTCTGAGACGCTTCTTGGCTGGGCAAACAGTATATTATTTTGGGTCAAAATATTGCTTTCATATCAAGTATGGGCTGTACACATACAGCAATGATGAAAGTCGTTTAGAAGAGCGCATGTACATATGTATATGAGCTCAGCTATAGAATACTAAGCTGGGAGCATGCTTCAACCCTTGGACATGTCGACGAACATCGTTTTGTCCGCTAAGATTTGAAAATGACTGCTTGTTGCCCTTGCAACATAGAGAATGGACCATATTCGACCCCGAAAAGTATAAATATTTTATTGATAACCATCAACCGCCGATTAGACAGAGGCATCCTTGGCGTCCATGTCTTGTATGTTTTAGTCCCTAGTCTTTATTCAGTTCAAATGAAGGTTAGAACTGCTGTTCTCATCTAATCCAAACCTTATAAAAAGCAATTGATATAGATAGAGCTGCATGAGAACAATCCATCTGAAGGGGTATCAAAAACATCGACCTCCGAAGCTAGAGCCCCTTTCTTGCTTAACAATCGCTTGACTCCATAGGTGGAAACACCAAGTGACATATTATCTAACTCAACAATTACAACATTTGTCAACTGGCGTTCTATGTGCTGTCAAATGTATGTATTCCCCGGAGGCCCCTTATCTGCTGTCAATAACTCTATCTGCTAGTGTGTCTCTGTATCAGGGACGTTTCGCACTCGACACTTTGTTCAAAATGTTTGCTCTGCATTTCTCCCCGCAGCTTCATTGCTCTGCGCGGGAAGGAGCAGGAACGACTCCCAATCTAAGTGGTTACCCTATTCGAGGGTCGGCTGGTTGGGCGGATTGACTAAACGCCTGCGAATTTGCGCTGATTTGACACAAAAATTTGACGTAAAGACGTCGGTGCTGCCGCTTCGAAGTCCCTGGCTCAAAATGCAAATGGTGCATGAATGTTTACTTGCCGCCCTTCCGGGAAAGGTTTCTGTTTACGCTTGTTCTGTTATATAGTAACTACAATTTGGGGACGCCGAAGGGATGGGGCGATGGTATTGGGGTGGTCTGACTTGAAAGTTTTCCTGCTCCCTTGTTATAAATTTTGTATCCATCCCATCCGATACTTACAACCATTTTGTGGCACTTTGCCTACATGTCTACCATGGCAACAAAGGCAGAAGAAAAAACACCGAAAATCAACAACTTGTAATGCAGAGAATTTACTTTGGGCCAAGTTCTTGCCGGGGAAACTTTACTGCATGTAATGATTGTCAGGAGAATGTTTCGGGTTCAACTTACGGGCCCGCACTGGGGTGGAAAGAAAACAGTTTGAGATAGACAATGATAATTTGTTGATAGTAAATAGGCTAATCTATTGCTGGCCCAAGTTTCTTCGACTTCCTTTAACTATTTTATATTCTTGGTAATAATCCACAGCCCTTCCCCATCATCTGTTTCTATCTGTTTTGATTTCATACTTCTCCGCCTGACCAAACCAACTGGGGGGTGCTCCCCATACATTTCCTCAGACCCATGTATTAGCACATTTTTGATGGTTTTCCTCCATCTTAATTTTCAATTATAAGTAAAATGTCAAGACGACATTGATCCGCGAAAATGTCACGCCTGGGCACTAATGGAACATTTAACTTTATGGCAGATCATTATACCAAAGTATGTTTTGCAAAACAGAAATATCAACGTAAAGTCAAGACGAAACTAGTCTCCCAAAACGGTAAGGTATTGTTTACATTTTTATGGCACAGGTGATTAATGCTTGAGACCATCGCTACGAGTACGAGTATAACAGAAAAACCCGAAACCTAGGGTGGATGGATGATTCAAGGCAGGGCGTGGCAAGCACAGCTACAGCTCAATCGATCGATATTCAATATCATTTTAAAACGAGGCCGCAAGCCGCGAAATATTTTTACACACGTTTCGAAATTACTGAGGGGCAATAATTTAATAGTAAATATTTTGTATTTCTACAATCAAATTAATTAGACCACGTACGTGTCCCGTGCGACGAAGGCTGCTGGGCGCCATTTATTGTATTATTTTAGTGGAATTTTTAATACTGCCCCAATGGCGCCATCACTGCCATGCAATTAGTGGCGCAATTTGATTTCGACCAATGTCGGGACGGGAGACTCCGAAACGAGATGATCTAACCTGGCGAAATTCCAAAGCAACTTCTTCATGAAATTTCGTTGTTGTATTACGATTTTAGCTTCAATATGCGGAAATATGGAAACGAGTTTCTGCAAAAGACAGGAACAATGCTTCGGTGAGCAACTTGTGAGATATTTATTTATTTCGATCATACATATTTGTTTTTATCTTGTTACAAACTCAAGGTATGGGATGAGGAATTGTTGTATGCGATTCTGCGGAATTTCCGAAGCTATCCCGTGAACCTATATCGCTCTCTCTCTCTCTTTCCTTACAAGATGCGTCAGCAGAAATATAAGCTGTGACCGGAAGTCGGGAGATTGAAGTCATGGTTAAGTCATTTCAAAAGCAAATAAGTACAAATTAACAACATCAATACAGTCAATTTTAAAACCCTTCACATTACTAAGCGTAAATTTTAGGGCTAAATAGGATATAGAATGAGAATTTTAGAAAATAGTTGAGACGAAAGAGATTTAATGGATTTTGTTACCGACTTTAATGCAATTATCGTTTGGTTGAATCACACATAATAACTCGAACAAGCAAAGAAAATAAATGTGTCCGCGGGACAATTTTGTCCGGCTCATCATCGGTGTTTGTTTTGCATTCATTAAAAGTTTTGCACTCGTATTTACCTTATATTTGGGGCCCGCTGTTGACTCTGTGACTCTCCATCGACCGAGAAAAATATCGTAATTTTTTTGTGTTTAAGCAAAAAGAAATACACATAAAAATTAAATTCAGGGGAATCGAACCGTTGGGCATTTTTCAAAGCCACAAATGACGTACGAAAAAATGGTATAAAGCCTGCGTTTCCTGGTAACCAAAATGCATCAAATTAATTGATTTAATATTTAGAAAGCCAAAAAACATTTGGTATTCAATTAGCTCTCTTTCCTTTTTTCATTATGCGAATTAAACTCGTGCGCTTTGATTGAATAAAAGTTGAATGAGTGGGTTGTGTCTTTAGTTAAAAGATCAATTGATATAATTTTTTTCCATAACATAATATCTACGGTCCTTGCACATCCCAAAGTATTGATACATACATAAGTGGTTTGTCTCTTGAACGATCGCTGCTTTGACATGCATACCAGTATCTGCTCTGCATCACAATGTGTGCAAAACACTATGAGTCTTTGCACTCTTCTCTTCGGACCTTCAGTCCCGAATTTAAATTCAAAACATTTGGCGTTTCATTCATAAAAATTTAAAAATATTTTGTTTGGCATATCCCAGATACACGGGTATATATGTATGTATGTATGTGGATTGGTCTATGGTTTTTGTTTTTATTTTTTTTTTACGGTCGGTCTGCACTACTTTAAATGGGTCCACGTGCCGGTTTTGTGGGCGAGGCGGCGAGAGACGCGGCGGGTGCCAAGTGTGGCTCCTGGCCACTTCCCCCACGCTCTCTCCTCTCAACATAACCGGTAATGAACGTTGTTAAAATGCGTTAAATGATTTATTCTGCATTCTGCCACTTCTTTGTGGTCTGCGGCCCACTGTTTTCGGATCATCTTTTAGGCCACGTTCTGCGAGCTGCTTTTGCACTGCTGCATTTTGGCCCACAGGAAGTCTTATGGCTGAAAAAAGAGAGTGCAGAAAAGAACTGAAGATGGGGACTCAAAGATTCATTGAAAGCTGTGGCTAACAAATTAAGTTTTCTCTCCAATCGATCCCTCCGACTTAACGAACATATTTACATATCACCCATTTTAGGTATACCCTACATAAAGATTCTCTTACCTCACCCCTCCTTTCTTTTTTTGCAAGCTACGTTTGGAAACGCGAAAGATACATACATATAAAGTCAGCGTTAAAATGAGAAGTATCGTAGAACTATCATCCACACGCGACATGGGCAGGCCGTATGGCCTAATCTCACGTAACAGAAATTATTTTATAATAATTCTTCGCTAGTGCAAAGTGTAGATACTCGTACGGTCGACGCAAAAGATTTTTCAGGCATTTAGCTGTCAGATTTATACTCATTCGTATACAAGTAGTCTATGCACACAATTCACTCAAATGGCCATTCCTAACCTTGAATCTCAGACATTATAAGACAGAATTAATAATATAAATCAAATAATTGCAAAATAACAAGCAACTGTATTCCCCGCTGACTCTTAGTCGCCCGACCGACAAAAAGAACCGAAAAATAATCGCCAAGAATCAACGCTAGATTCACAGAGAATCCCAGAGCAAACAAAGGAGTCTGCCAAAAATTAAGGAATCGAATTTCCACACAATATCCACGGAATTAACATGCTTGTTGAGAGCCACAAAAACTGTCAAAAAAGTTCACAAGCCACGGCTAAAAACGCAGACACGCGTGGCTTGCCATTTGTTTGTTGTTAATTTAGTTTTTGTAGTCGGATGATGGCCCAGCCATAATGCCATTGGGACAAGTGTTGATCATTCATGAAAAGGCCTACAATGAGCAGGCCAAACGCCAGACAGAGCAGCATCAAGCGGGGAAAATTTGTGAGAAGTAGCAATGAACCTTAAAAGGTCTTGGCTTTTGCCGTGGAGCACTAAGTACCATCTCATACATCTGCCACATATGTATGTATCTATGTAAATATACTACAACAGTAATCACACATAGCAAAGACTCATTAATTGTTGATACATTTCAAACAAAATTATAGCTGAGATCAGCACTCAACACTCGTTGACAGCCGAAATAAAGACAATGTGTTAAACAAAGAGAAACAAAATGAGATAATAATTGAGCGGTATTTCAAGTAGTTGTTTTACTGAGCAGCCAACTGAAAGATGCACGAATATGTATGGACATCTATAAAGCATTGAGACTTAAACACCTTAATCCGAATTACCCAGAAGTATTGGTGGAGCAAGAGCAGCCCACCTACACTTCTGGGGAACTGTGGGTAAACATGCGAGTACGTGTATTCGTTTCACGGAAAATCGATGATCAACTCACGATTTTCACGCATCGAACACCTGAACAAATTTAGTTAATAAACATAAGTTTTCTTAATGTTGCAAGATTAAATAAAGTTTACTCATATCCCCGTTATAATAAATCATCATCATATTTTTGAACACTTGAAATTGATGGTATATCAATCTGAAAGTCCAGAGAATACACCAATAGATCTTGACTGTTAGGGGCTCTGCTCTCTCTAATTGTTCAACTTTAATATTTTTCTACATACTTTAATGTACATATGTATGTGCGAGTATGATCTTATAAAAGGAAAGCTTACAATAAATTTAAAAATAATTTTCGTAGAATGGCTCTGAGATCTCCTTTAGGTGTTTAAAATAAACAGACTATTTATTAATATTCATTGGAAATGGATTACTGTACCCTCTTTGACTCATCAGATCTGTCCTCGCCACCAATAAAGGTGCAATAAAGTAAAATTTATTAAATCATCGAGGTGCACTACAATTTACCATGTTTATCGCTTGTAAATATTAAATCGCTTTTCCCCCGTTTCTCAGGGCGAAACGACCCTCCCCTCCCAAACAACTGCCCATTTCTTGTTCAATAATTTCACTCTAGGCAACCGAAATCAACAACTTTTGCATTAGTTTCGTTTTTGTTGTTGAAATTTATTACAAGTGTCGCCCTGTTTGTTGTAACTAACACACTGACAGACACTTACGTTTGGAGCCGACAAAATTTTTCGCGCTTTTTGGGTTCGGAGGCCCAGAGAAATATTTTGTGATTATCGCTGAACCGCGGCTGTGCCGCTGTTGGGCCGCCGTTGTTGTGGATTTGTCGGTTTTTGCCTCGCTTTTGGCTTTGCCCACGTTTCTTGCGTTTTATTTGCGCTTCTGCGATGTCTTTTAGTGCTTTTCCAATTTCTTATTCACTTCATGTCTGCGCCTCGCGCACCGTCGCCGTCACACACACGCCACCACTCTAGAGCCGTTTAGCATAGGGAGTACGCACTGTATATGAGCGCTTCTTCAGTCGGCCGTTTTAGTTGTTGTTCAGCCGCGGCGTCAACGTTGCGCGCTCAAATCTCGCTACTAACTAAATAAACGAATCGCAGCGACACAGCGCTGCGCTGTTTTGCTGCTGCTGTCCGTAACCATGCTCGCTCGCTCTCATATACAGTGAATCAATAGAGTTTAGGCACACCATGATGTTCAATGTTCGCCAGCGTCGGTTTGAGATATTGATCATACATGTGAAATAGTTAAGCGTCTCTTAAGACATCCCCATTTAAGGCCCATACACAAATGGACAAGCTATAGCCAGAGACAATCTCCTCAAAATGTCATTTATAAATTTTCTTGCCTACATTAGCAACATTACTTGTAAATTAAAAATTTGAGCGGATAGGTGTTTAAATATTTAAGCAAGTTTATGCTTCTTGACAGCAACACTTTTAAGCAATAAGAACTACATATGTAGGTATATAATATGTATATAAGAATTACAGAGGTCAAACAAACTAAATATCCGGCTCCAACCATTTTTTTATATGTATGAATATGACGTTAAATATTTGTGCGTTCTTTTTTTTGTATGTAAATTCATTAATCTTCCTGAACCAAAAAAATGAATGAAACTCATCCACACTTTTTTTTGGTGAGCCTTTACTTTTTTGATTTACTGTACACACATGCGGTCGCACTGCATGTGTGCCACAGCGTCGAATGGCAAAGCAAGTCCAAAGATGGGCTTGAGCAATGATGCCGACATGGCTCTTTTAAAGCTAAATGCTGCAGACTTGAAAAGCGTTTTAGAAAAAGTCTTCTGCCAAGTGCCTATGGCTCTCAACTGATTAATTTTATTGCCACTGTGGCGCCGACAAAGTGGAAGGCGAACTTTCCCAAGATCGAAATCTGTAGCGTCTGCTTATTCCAAATTAGTATTTTCCAATGCTAAAGCAAGTGTTGCGAATCATTATCCCTTGTGTTTTGATACCTATGCATCCCCATTTCCTCTTTCTTGTTATATACAGTCCTGGATTTTTCCTTTTGCACATACAATTTTACAATATTGCCCTGTGTTGGAATATTAAAAATTCCATTTTTCAGGTTCTGTTCAGCTATGCGTTTGAAGCCCCTATATGGACCATACTCTGGACCATTTTTTGTCTGTGTCATTTCTGTTAGCAGCGGATAGACGGGCAGCTGCGTTCATTGGGACGGGCCGCCGATGACGTCTAATTTTTTCCGAACTCGTTTGCTTACTCACACACGGAATTATGTCAGGAATGCTGGTCGGACGAGGCTGTCGGAACGGTGGTTGTCTGGTGCGTTGAAAGTCGGTTGATTAATTTTTTTGATTTCGGCAGTGTGCGAGCGTGGGGAATGCAAGGAAAAAGCCGGTTACCATTTCGGGGCATGAGGATTGGGGCGCGTGCCAAAGTCTTAGTTTGCTATTGGTCTGGCTGATTCCGAAGGCGTTTCAAGTTCATAGAGGGATCTACATACATTCCAGCAGTTAGTTAGTCGCGGCTTATCACGTGCAATTAACCGAAGACCCTTTGGCGGTTGACTCACTCTGACAACAAAAACGTGGCTCTGACTAAAATATCAGGTGATTTCAGTTGGTATCGAACAAATGGCAATAAGCCATTGACATCAGTTTATGGGATTTCTGCAGCGTTTTACACTTATTTTTCTGTTGGCAACAGCGATTTCGGGTATTTAACAGCGCTGTCAGCATGTCTGAACTTACCTTGCTACCATTTCATTCGCACTGATTTCAATTGAAACCCACAAGAACAGCAATACGAATGTATCCCATTCCATTTTCCAAGCGAAGCTACGAATTTCCACGGAATATGCAGAAGTCGCGTCGAATGCCGATAAGGCAGAAGACTGCAAGAGGTCAGTGATACTCGAAGAGTATTTCGAGTGCCTGACCAAAAATGCTGTTGGTGTACTTTTGCTAAGGAAATACAGTGAAAGATCTTTTGGCGGACAGGTCTCTTGTCCTTAGCTTCAATTCTTCAATTGTTGCTCAGTTAAGATCTCTACTCTATATGAATGTCCACACATAGAATAAAATTAAATACAAAATTTTAGATTAAAAAATAACTGCCACGAACATATATGGTTTATTTTTAAAGATACATATATTCCAGTCTTCAATCATAGAAAAATAATATTTAAGTTAATGTACCCACACATAGTACATATGTATGTATGTATTTGATCATTTAACTTTCCTTCTGAAATGGTATCAATATATTACCCGTTTACGGCTATCCTGAAAGATTAAGATTAAGATCGAACTGTCCGCACACTAACATCATTGAATAACTTTTTTTAAAAGGATTAAGATGGGTGGCAGTTCGAATTTATTTGATAAAATTGGTTTTAATACGTACGGCTATATGTTATCTCGTTTAAACTCAAAGAACTTAGCCAATCAGACTTTTGATTCCCATTTCCTAAGCCATATCTTTCAGCTTCCTGTATTTCTGCTATTGACAGATGTCAAACCCTGAAATATGAGCGCGGCCGAGTTGATTGAAAGAGATACTCGTGCTATATCGTAAAAAAGGTAGGAAAAAATGTCAATCAGAAGTCAAACCACGACTCGCATCACAGCACAAATTTCCGTTAAAAAAAAGTATAACGAAAAGCGAAATTCGAAATGAAACAAGTAAGAACGTTAAAGTTGTGTGCTTCGACGAAAAATTACCCCCCAGTCAGTTACAGTTACAAAATTTTACCATAGTACTCATAGATATTAATTCTAAAAATGTGTTTTATGGATTTACATATGCATGTAGATAAACGGAAAGACGAACGCCACTCGATATCTAAAACGGGGGGGCGGGGCGGGGGGGGGGGGGGGGGGGGGGCGGGGGGGGGGGGGGGGGGGGCCGGGGGCGGGGGGGGGGGCGGGGGCCCCGCGGGTAAAAACATCATATTCCCATTTGTTACCCTTTAAAATGCAAGCAAAAACGATTCAAACAGAAGCCAAGCGACGCCTCAATTCAATTTTAGCATTGAAACCAGATACGAGTGTTCAAAAGAGACGCTAGATGGGTTGGTTGGCGGAAAACCCCTCGACCAAAGTCAGAATGGAGATGTTTAGAATTTCGCATAAGGTACGAGTACAAATCTGTTAACGCTTTGAAACCGCAGACAGCCACCGGAATTTTAGCGCAGTCCCAGCCAGCGTTCTAGCCTGCGGATGCACAGGGGTCTAGAATATCTTTATACTTCACGGAAATTATAAACGAGTGTATTAGACACTTTTAGATTTGTATCTACATGTTTTAACGATTTTTTTTAAGCGGAACACTAGTTTACATTGTACCCAAAATATATATATTTACTTATCTGGTGAAGAATATTGAGGAGTTCTGTTCCATACTAAAAACATATATTTAATTTGCATTTTTATATTTTTTGTTACTTTACACCCCTGTGCTATGTGAAGTGTAATTTAAATCGCAGAAGGTAAAATTATATGATTCGGGTTTGAATTTGTTTCACAGTTTGTCATTGTAGTGCTGGTATTAGCCCCTATTATTGAGCAGAACGAGGCGCGGAAAAGAAACTCCGGGGTAAAATCCATGAAAAGAAATCGCTGTTTATTCTATAAATTGCATTTTCTGCACAATTTCCCAACCTGTATCAATTGGACCGCGTCCCACTTGCCTTCGCCCAATCAAAGCCGCTTAGCGCAGTAGTTTTCTTTGACAGAAGCTTTTGTTGGAAAAATTTAAAATTGCATCGGGCTAATCCCCATCCGAACGTTTTTCAAAAAACGCTTTGTTGGGTTTCTTTTGAAGGAATGATTTATTTGAAATATATTTTAACATTTAGAGCTTTGAATTTTGATTTCGGTTTTTGTTTGTACAGTATAATTAAATTGATAATATTAAACTTTGGCTAATTAATTGGTATTTTACGTACAAGTATTGAAAGAAGCGACAACATTCATTTGCAGTTAAATACGAATCGTATCAATGGAAATAATAAGTGGATACTGGTATTTTCTTTGCACTGAGATTATTATTAGTTTCCTTAGGGTTGCGATGCCATTCGTATCCTCGCGGTAGCCCTGGACTTTGTGTGAATCTCAGCCGTTCTCAGGGTGATGCCAAAGATGTCCTCGTGGTAGCGGCTCTCGTCCTGCAAAGCACAAACAAACGATTTACCTTACAGTTGTCAAATGTTGCCTGATGGAGAAATCTTAATACACAAAGTGCACCCGGCTTTCGAGTATATACACGGAAGCCTTAAAGGAAACTTACTCGCAGTGTTAGCATAAACGTATCGACTTCCGCCTCGGATTTCTGCTCTTTGCCGGCAATGCACTTCCTGCAAAAGAGAAAAAATAATGAAATCAGATTTGTCTCGATTTGTTCAGTAAATACGGGGAAAAGAACTCGTGCCCTGGGGGCGCTATGTCCATACATTATAAATAACAAAAATACGAGTAATATTAATAAACTTTTCAGGAAATTCAATAATTTTACTTATCATTACAAATCAGCCAAAATCACATGGAAAGTATTTATCTCCCATTTTTTTTTTACTTGAAACCTTATCTCTCGACAAAATATGTAAATCAATACTCAAAGTCTTCTAATTAGCAAAACGCATTAGCTGAGGGTCAGCTTCTGCTTCGGTACCTATTAGCCAAAGCCGCTTAAGATTAGGCCCACATTGAAATCCCCCTTCAAGGACATTTATTATGCAATGTCGGGTGTCCCATGTGTGTACGCCCACAGACAGGCCGTATTTCACAATGAGGCACGTAATCAAGAGCTTTGAAAAATGCGAAGTGGAGAAAAAATATATAAAAGCCAAGCAATGGCGAAATACCTAACCACAGAGCATTCGAAAACAGAAAATTCCCAGAAGGGGCAGTGTGAAGAGTGAAATAGAAAAATAGTGGAAATGGCAACAAGTTAGCCACACCCACTGTTGCCCCAACACACAAAGGCAATCAAACTGAGGGCAAACCTACCTGATGGTCTGGTACACATGCTCGGCCATAGTGACATCGCCGCAGACGTAAACGTGGCCCCGCTCCTGCACAATCAAGTTGTACAACGAATCGAATTCCTGTTCAATCAGGTCCTGCACATATGTCTGAAATGCACAAACAAATCATTTGTTAAGTGGGAGCAGGCGGAGTTGCGTCCAAAGTTCGAACAGATTGTTCATTGGCATTGGAAAGTTTGTCAGGCAGGGAATCGGAATCCGAATGAAGTTTAAAGTTGCTTCCGCACAAAGCTCACCTTGGGGATGGTCGGCTCTCTAGAGAGAGCCAGGAAAACACGATCCAATATTTGCTCCTTCACCAGCCGCTCCTTCTCCTCCGCATACAGGTCCACATCCCGGTTTCGACAACCGAAAAAGAGCCACATCTTGGGTAGCGAGACAGCTGGATCGAGCTCGCGAAGCAGCTGGAACTCCTGCCAGAAGGAGCGGAAAGGGGCGATACCCGTGCCGGGTCCGATCAGGATAATGGGACTGCTGCGGTTGGAGGGCAGATGGAAGCCCAGAGCACTTCGCACGAACATGACGAGCTCGTCGTCAGCCTGCAGGCCCGACAGATAGTTAGAGCAGACACCGTAGCGCTCGTCGCCCTGACCGTCCTCGGAGCGGTACTTGACAATTGCCACTGTCAGATGGATCTCATCGCTGGCCCTACGGGGAGAGGAGGAGATGGAGTAAAACCTCGGCTGCAGGGGCGTGAGGTGTGCCAATAGAAGCGGCGCTGGCGGTCGACACGAGGGGAACTCCTCCAGGACATCCAGCATGTGGGGCAAGCGCCAGTGCCGCCAGTCCTCATAGGCCGACGAGTCGTTCACCAGCAACTCAAGTCGCTCCTTATCGGCATTGTCATCGCAGAATCCTGCCAGGAGGGTGAGTAGCTGCCGCGAGGGAGGAGTGGTCAAGTCGAAGAAGCGAACCAGTAGATTCCGCAGAGTTTCTGCAGGAATCTTATCGTGCTGCTCCCAGCACTTGAAGATTCCGTTCGAGGTTTGCTTTTCCTTGAGAAGCTGCAGCTGCAGCACCTCGTCCGGATTCTCAACCCCCACCAGACGCTCCAACAGACCCTCCACCAGTTGCGATCGGTTCGCCGGGAAGATTCCTACGTGATCCCCCGGCTCGTAGTCCACTCCTGGTGCGCAGATCTCCAGCAGCATCGTTGTCTTTGCTCCTTCACTGAGCTTGGTCAGGTTATGCGGCTGTCCCTTTATCTTGCAGCAGTGCACCTTCTTGTTGTGGTACTTTGAGAGCGCGCTGTCTAGCGTGGTCTTGGCCGCGGACGGCACCAGCCGCACAGTGTTCACAGTGAGGGATTCATTCTGCAGTGCCAGCGAGGCGTCCGTTAGGCTTTCCTCCGGATCCAAACAGAACGTTTCGCAAGCAAGCTGCGGATACAGAGTAGAAGATTATTATCGGCCACATTAGTATAATACAGCCATGCCATTCAAGATCACAATCGTGCAATTGCGGACTGAGGTTAATCGCGATTATTTTTCAATGAATGACTCAAATGGGTTATGTTTAAATTGGATGTATATTTGTAAGTTTTATTTTCCGTGCAGGGCCACGGGCTGAACTAAGGCAGTCATTAAATGACTTGGGGATCGTAGGCAGAGGACAGCAAACAATGTTAAAGAGTACGTTAGGTTTAGGTTTAAGAGATAGTTGACTTGTGGCTTTGTGCTGCATTTCCGAAACTTCTCAGCTAAAGCATCTGACGCTTACATAAACTTGAGATAGTGTACCTTGCGACTTAATAAAGCAATCACTTACCTTGAAGACCTCGGGCGCCCACTTCCTGAACGATTGCTCCTGGCCGCACATCTCGTCGCCATAGGCTATCCTCATCAGTCGCTCGCCTCCCAGCTCGCCCAAAATATTGTCCACGTATTGTCCAAAGGCGCAGAAGTTCGGATATGCCGAGGAGCCTAAGGCAAAGACGGCAAACCGGACGTTGGACAGGGGGCCAAAGGTTTCCTCGGTGAAGGTGTCCGATGTGGAGCCCCGCAGTGAGTCCCAGCGGTCTATTTTCTTCACCTGTTGCAAGGGCAACTTCATAAAATCCTGACGGGAGCTGGCCTTCATGAAGGATTTCGACGAGGTGACGCCAATGCTGGATCGCAGAAGGAGATAAGCATCGCAAGTGTGAGCAGGATAAAGATAAAGATGTACAAGATATTCCGGTTGCTGTTCGATTGATTCGACAGCCCAAAAGTATGCTATGGTATTTCCTTCAATTTCTTGAAAGGGAAGATTCTGGAAACACTCAAATTAAAATAGTGTCTGTCCGGGGAGGGGGGCCCAGCTTCTTTTCTTTGGGTTCGGATTTCACAAAGGCTCCCCACAAAAGGAATGAGGCGTGGTCAAGGGCACCTCCCACCTCCCACTACTGTTGTTGTGCAGGAACAAGACAATGAACAAAACACGCCAAAGGAGGCAACAAAAGAGGCACAGAAGAGACTGACAGCATAACATTTATTACGCTTGTCATTTGATGTAGCTAACGAATGGGGAGAAATGTACAAAATATACCAAAAATAAAATGAGCTAAAAGTAGGCGGAAGGCAGGACTGAACAGGGACGAGGACGGCACGGGCACGGGTACGGGCACGGCAAGCCTTGGACTTAGACTCAACAGTGCGAGCAATTCACTAAAAAAAAAAAAGACGTAATCATCCGCTCGTCAGCAGCTCGTCAGGAAAACCCAGCTCTGAAGGCTCCTCCTCCCAGCATGTGGGGCATGCCCTGCACCCTGCACCCTGCAACTGCAGTCCCCCTCAGCCGGTCCCAGTTGAGTGATGATTCAACAATGAACAATGGCACTCTTTAAAAGGAAAAGATCCGCTTTTGGCCAGTCTGGCTGCCTCCTGCTGCAGTCCCTGAGTACCCTCCTCACCCGGTACAGGGGCAAGCTGCCAACTGCATCTGGCCAGGGCCTCGGTGGCAGAGTGCGTTTAAAACTATTTGAGCTCCTGCTGCTCAACTTGGCTTTGGGTCAAAGTTTATGGCTTTGCTGGAGTCGTAAAAACCTGTTGCGAGCGGCGGCGGGTGAGCGTGAGCCCCGGATCCACGACGAGCATAGAGCTGACATTGAGCTTACCAGATCTAGGAGCTTGTTAACAGCGAATGATGGAGCCGAGACTGCCGCCAGGGATTACGAGTGGCTGACGGAGGTGGCAGTGATGGAGTCGAGAGGAATATTCTATTATAATATTATTACAAGTATTAAAAAGTTGATGTCATTGTGAGAATATACATATACCAGCCTTAGCTGGAGAAGATAAGCACTTAAAATTGCACAATATCCACTTCGCAGCTTCCTAAAGCTGTTTCCCAACAGTCGAAGCAGTTTTTAAGGTCAAAGGGCTCGATGTTTGTCATGTGAGCGTTATCCCGTTATTATCACATCAACCACTTTTGGTCCACCGCTCATTAACCACAGATTCACAGCCACTGGAATTGCTGTTCCGCTCCACCTCCTGGTGGAGATCCTTCTCCATCTCCATTTCCCGCTCAGGCCGCATTGCCCATGCAATTTATCAATGCGAGCGCCTTCCCTTCCCTCCCCACCCCACTGTTCACTTTTCTTCTCGGCTCTTGAGTTCCGTTGAAAGCTGAGCGACGCTTATCAACTTAATCACTCGCCGCGCTCCTTTCCGCGCAAACACAACAGCAGTGGCAGAAGCAGCAGTGAGAGAAGAAAGAGAAAAACGATTCCACACGCAAACAAACAGAGAAAGCATCGCATTTTACCTGCCGTCACCATACCCATACCCGTAGCAGCCTCCCAAAAGTGCAGCATAGCGTGAAAAGAGTGTTGTAATTTACAACTGTAGTTCAGCTCACTCAATGGAGGGAAGGGTGGCGTGGCCCAAGCAGGAGCAGAAGCCCAACAAGGTAGGAGAGACAAAGTGTGGGAAAGAGAGGGATGGGGGCCAGACAGTTAGACTGGAAATCCTGAACTGCGCCATAATTAAAATGCTGCCGAGAATTGGCTGTACCGTCTTCACAAACACGCTGCGGAAATTGAAACCGATGTGAGCACCATGAAATACTCTTACAGAAGGACTTTTCCTTGAACATACATGTTCGGCTTAGCTTAAATGTACATAAATTATCATGAGAGATCTAAAAAAGTTGCCCAGAATGAGTGACCTTAATAACCGTATGAGATATTGATTTGATCATAGCAAATACATATATTTTCTGCGGCTATTCCAGAATTAGATAAATCAGTGTTAAATAGAAATAGAGCTATCAAGTAGCCTAATTTTTTAAGGTGTGCCTTCTTTTGTCGGGTAGTTTCTCTCAGTATATTCCCAGCTAACTATAAAGTTCCGTAGGTGCCTGAAAGCGTTTCAGTGCTGGTACTTCTTTCCCGTCACGTTTTTGTCCTGCCTGTCCCAAGTGTTGCTGTCCAATCAACATTTACTTGTAATTATTTTTGTTGACATGAAGAGCTGTTGGAGAAGCCATTGAAATAGATGTCAAGCGCTTTTAGCAACAACTTTATCCAATTGTTTTGCTCAGCTCATTATGCAAAGTGAAGTAATTTTGAGCTGATAGGTGGTAGTGCCATCATCATAAAAACTTTTATGGAAAATAGCTCGTCATAGATGATGACGTCTAGTGCTGCCTAAGTGGCACATTCTGGAAAGGTGCAGTGGCAGTAGCAGTTGCAGTTTAGAAACAGCAGGATACGGATGCCGGGCACACGCGCCCTGCCCACTCTTGTCTCCGTAGTCACTCAAAGAGCACTCACAGGCGTTGATGGCCTAATAGACTGCAATTAAGTGAGCTTGAGATCCCTCAAACTTGGGCTGCGAGCAGCGGACAATCACAGAGACGAAGCAGGACAAGGCCAGGAAGGTGGGCTTGAGTGTGTACTTTTGTAGACATTTAATATCTCGTCTCCCAGCAGGCAAGTGTCATTTGCCCGGTCAACCACAACAATTTGATCAAAGTTCATGGGAGGAAAATTTAGAGGATGCGAATATCTAGGGGATACGTATTCTCATACGTTAAAGTCTGCTCTTGCTTCGCAGCTATTTCAAAACTATTAAGCAACTATTACAGTTTCGGGTTCGCAAAGTTTGCAAACAAAGTTTTGAGTTCTTGGCTTTAAAATTAAATCAAGTGATGCAAACAATTAACGGCAAAGCAATTTCCGAAGCGACAAAATGCCTCGGGAAAACAGCAAGAACAAATACAGCATCCATGCCCAAGGCGAGCTCAATGGAGCGGGAAAGCAGCCAAAAAGAAAAACCTTCAGCACTCAGGCTCACATGATGGCTATAGTATAGCCTCCCCAAAGCTCCCGGTTCCTCGCCAGCATCCAGCTCAACAGCTTGATTGCTTAAATTGCTCATACGCAGCGTGGGACAAGTAGGAGACGAAACGGATTCTCATTCTCATTTCGGTAATGTTTGTGTAATGAAATCGAGCAGGCTCCGAAAGTAGGAATGTGAGATTGTTTTAAATTTGTAACAAATATTTGTGTTAAAGATTGAAAATTATCTAAATTTAAGCAAACTTAAGATCTTCTACTAAATAAAACAAGATATCCCTTATCAAGAGTTTATTAGTCGCGTATTTAAATACATAAGTATGTACTTAATACTTTGTGATAACAAATATAGATACGCCAGGATAATTAAAATGCTCGTAATTTAAAATACGTAAAAAACGTTTCTCAATTCTGCAAATATTATATATGCCTCAACAACTCGCATCTCAATTAATCACAGCGCTAATGATGAGCGTACGACTGGGAAATGCCAATTAGCTCCTCGGCCCAGCTTCAACAAATTTCCACGACAATTTAGCATTGTTTGTTCCAACAACACACATAGTCGCTTAAATATACACAATTGGATCGAATAAAGGCAATAATAAATCAAATTAATTTGGTATACCAAAGACAACAGGAGAGATAATAGGAAGCAGGAGCTTCTCAAATTAATAAACAGGAATAAACACGCACAAATTTATCAGACAGGGGGATACCCAAATTAAATTTCAGTTAATGAATTTTCCTATACAAAAAAAGGGGCCTGCTGGACGTTTTTTACATTCCGACTTGTATAACACATATGTACATATGTTATTGAATTGGCTTCCCACCCTGGGGGAGTGCTTTGGCAGCTTTGCTCTCACTTCCTCCCTGTGCTTCATATGAATTTTCAATTTCATTTTCAACAGGCATCCCCCGCCTGTGTTTTCGGGTATAAATTTAGTCATGTCAGTGTGTCTGTGCGCGTCCTTAGTTGTCAAAGTTGTCAAGCGGAAATCCCCTCAACATCATAAAAACCCTCCACAGACATATTCTACGTGAGGGAAAATATCGAAATAACAAAATTATTGTTATTGTTTTTTTTTGCGAGGAAGGAGGTAGAGAACCCTGGGATGGGAGAGGGGAATTGCGCGGATTTGTCTGCTCTCTCAAGCGGCACGCACTTAAGTGCGTGTCTTTATCCTGCATACATACACATACATACATGTACGAGTATGTGTGTGTGTTGTGTGTGAAGGCATTTGTACGTCATTTTAAAGCTGCTGGCACGCTTGACACAGAGGGATAGCGGGGGGAACAACAACAGCCAATTAATAATACAAAATTTCAAAGCATGTGTCAGCAATAATGTGACCAAAAAACAGGTCACAAAATGGAAAAAAAAAAAACTAAAACAAAAACCGACTGATATTAGGGTCAGCTCCGATGCGAATAGTTTGAATGGCAACATTTCCACTGCCAGGTCCCTCTTCTGTAGAACTTACTGTATCGGAGCTGCATTGAATCAATTCGGCCACAAATAAAATTAATTACATCCCCTTGTACGGGCATGGCCGAAGAACCCGCAAGGGATACAGGACCCCGAAAGTGTGCATTAAAAATTGATAACTAGAAACGGCGACCACAGAAGAGTCATCGAGGCATTTGCATAAGCTGGAAAAAATTGTAAATGAAAGAAAACTTGCTTAAAAAGCAATTTAGCCACGGTCGTCGTCGTCCGCAGCTATCTTTTTTATTGTATTTTGCTTCCCTCCTACATCGAAGTTCTTAAACAAATTGATTTATACGAAATTTATGCAAGGACTGGGCCGGCAAAAAGCAGAAGAGAAAAACCGAATTTATGAACTCACCTGGAATCCTGCAATCCATGCTCGCCGGACTCCTGCACACGCAGCGCATACAATTCCTGGGAGAACAGCTGAGGGCACGACGGAAAATTAAAGTTCACATTTCGTACACATTTGAGGGGGAGGCCGCCTAATCTATTAATTATCTTGATATGATCTGGGGCACTTACCTCTCCGTTTTCAGGGGGATCGCCGTTGCCAAAGGTGGAGGCCACAACAATTAACAATGCCTCGTGCTCAATAGAGGATATATCGTAGTCGGACATGCAATATATCTAAATGAATGAACAATTTAATTTCTTGGCTGTGCGTAGTTTTTTTTTTTTTTGCTTGCCGAACTGTTGTGGTTCTAATGACCTGGCCTATTCCCCTGTTCGTACTCGTACCCCAGGGAGGCGGCTTAATGAGCTCCGTATGCTGTGATGTCGGGGTGTATCTTGCACGACTATTGTGTCGCAGGTGTCTGGGGCTTATCTCATTTTCCCAGGTAGCAGCAGATGCTTTTTACACATACATGACGAGAGGATGGACTGGACTAGACTGGACTGGTTGGACGGAGATGGACTTAGGCTTGCCTGTGCTCAACCGGACACTAAGCTTCCACAAAAATGTAAAAGTAAATTTCTATTTTATGCTAATTTGTCTTATGTGGAGCTTGTATTCGTCGCAGGCAAAGGTTGCAGGTTAAAAGCAGAGGACCCAAAATGAGGCTAATTTTAGAGGTGGTTTAGCGTTATATAATGTCAAATTGGGGGCGTTTTACACTATGAAATATGCTTGATGCTCAACAAATTGGGTAAATTAACTTATATCTTCTTGATAATAATTGGAATACAAATACTGCAGGATGTTGCTCGACACTCCCCAACAAATACTAGTATTATGCAGAGCAAAGAATACTTGTCGCTGTAAGCCTTCTCCTGGTGTTCTCCAGCCTTGCTCACCCCGAAACTCACCTGTGCGTTGAATGCATGTCCGAGCAGCTCGCATAATTGCTTTGCATATTGTTCGGATTTTCCAGTTTCTGTGGCATACAGAACCGTTGCCTTGATGCGCTTCGACAAGGCGCGTCCAAATAATTTCGATGTAAATTTCACAGCCCTGCAACGAGAAGACCGATTAGAGTGTCTGCCGGAATAGAGATCATGGAGCCGGTTTGGTGCAGAGGATGGGACAGATGTTAGGGCACTTAAATCTTAGTGAGCGTCGGCAAGGCCATCGTCATTATACTTATAAGCCTTTGTGTCGGAGGGTAAGGCCATAACACGCGTCCATAGCACTGCACACAGAGCAGAGCACAAGATGCCCGATATAGGCACTTTGATTGACATGCCATATAATTGGAAAATTGTCTGCAACTAGAGCATATATTTTGCTGTTGTAAGGACCACCCTCGACACACGAGAACACACACATGGCTTGTCAATAATCAAACGGGGCACAGCAGTTTTATTGCATCCCTTTCCATCCGCTATTTAAAGCAGCATCGCATAAAATTTTATGCATAGTGCAAATAAATGAGAGCAGAAAGAGGCAGTACGTATGTGTGTGAGAGGATGTGAGGGACTCCTGATGCTTCAGCGTCAGACATCGTAACGTCTGCTTCTTCGACTTTGTTTTTGAGATTTAGATATTCACTCCACTCACAAGAGGTGGATATATTGGATTCTATAAATTTGTACATTCTTTTGTAGAATGTAGATACTTCACTCGTAAAGTGATTGTACTTCTATTACAAATATACATACATGTCCTGTATGTATTGTATGTAAGATACTTTCTTAATAAATAGTACATTTTTTAAATCAAAATAGGTCCATATACCATTTCAATCCACTATTTCTGTCCCTAAGTAGCGCTATGTTTCGAAGCTATATAAATAGATGTACATATTCTATGCATTACTATAATTCTTTACCAAATTTTAGAGTACGGTCTGAAACATTCGAATTTATTATTTTTCCTTTTTCATACTTTGAACAGTGTTCCATTTTCACAGCTCCTGTAGTCTGCCTGCTCCGGATGTTGAACTATTTTTTTGGGATAAGAGGGGAAATGGATGCTTATAGGCAGTTTAAATGTAATTCAATATGCCTGGCACTTCTCCACTTCACTTCACTCCACTCCACTCCACTTCTCTTGCCCTACCCACTTTCCTCCACATTATGTTGCACACTTTTGTGAGAGCATGAGTATAATTTCATTTCCATAAAGTTGTCGATGTCAGCGCTGATTTAATTCCATTTCATCTCATCAGAGCCAAGAGACGCAGCGCGTGCTGAAACAATTAAACTTAATTATGTCTGCAGCTTGTCATCCCTATACAGATACAGATATTCGGATACACATTTGAATACGAACATGGCGGCCATAGAGATACTCGCACGAATATACACATACATACATATGTATGTGTGTACTCCTACTTATATGATTATTCAGAGGTTCCTTCAGTGGGGCACTGATTAAAAGTTTCTCACTCGCAAGTGCTCGATTTAATGGAAACTTGTATGCGGTTTTCAACAATTATAATTGATAACTTTTTAATGAATTACTGACAGTCTGCCAGTTTTCAGATACTTTTTAAGCTGTTCGGAAGGGATCGATGCACGGGCACTGCACCGGACTGTGGCACCGAACTCCCTGCACGGGACCGATTGCAGATAATTAAAATTAATTAGCCTGGTCGAATGGGCAAGTCCGGACAACATCATTAACACATAACGATTTAAAGCGCGGTCGTTAAATAATTATTATTATTTTTCACGACTCATTTAACGGCCATTTGCAGGTGTCACATATTTCTCTCATCATCGGCGATTTCTTTTGTTAATTAAGTAATTGATTTTATTTGTTCGTGCTGACCGCACTTGTTTGTTTCAGCTTTATGTTGAAGTAATACAATGTAGTGCAGCTCTTGCCAATTACTATACATATTGTAAAGCAATTAAAGGCAATTAAATGCCGTCTCTGGAAAATGCTCAGTACAATTTTATATTTTTGTTTTTTTTTTTATAGTAGTTATTAATTTAAAAAATAATTAATAATATTTCATGGGACTTTCAGTATGTATTGTTCTGCAGAATATTTTTGACTTGAACTTCACGGGATTTGGATAAAACAATTTTTAAAAATTTTAAAATATATTTTTTGAAGAACGTTTTTACTTTTACACTACATTGTACATTCTCGTATGTACATGTACTCGTTGATTCAAAACGAAGTAGCAAGGGCAGACAATTTATCTTGATTTGAAATGGAGAAAACTTTGGTAAAACTATATGCAACAAACTTAAAAGACAATTGTGTTTAATTTTATCCAAATAAAGTAATGCCGTACAATTTGCATAACAATCAAACCCTGCCGCACATATGCTACCTTTTCCGAGCCAGCCCAGCGCATTAAAAGCCCCAGACAGGAGAAAGTAGAGGAGTGGAATGAGTGGAATAACATTTAAAATAACAATACCCCGGACAACAACCATGATGCAATGTTCCAAATTTTACGAGAGAGTTGACAAGAGCAGGAAAAGGCGTTGGGAGACGCCGGGTATGGAGAAGTCGGAGCAGCGGTAGAACCCGGCAGCAATAAACCACAATCCATGTAATCTACTTAAAAGCTAATCCCTGCTGATGCTGTCGTGTGACACGCTCGCACAACGAGCAAGCCCACATACTCTCACACACAGACAAAGTCACACAAAGACAATTACAATAAACGGGACAGGGCTGCCTGCAGGAGGATATCAACAGCATCATCGGTGAAGGTAAAGGTCGCCACGTTAACGGTAAACGGTCCAGGAGGTACGCGTACCCGTACTCACCTAGCGATTTGTTTGAAATTGAATTTACGGCGTGGCTTCTTGCCTTTGCTCTCACCGCGCCCCTTCTTCCAGACGTGGGTGCGCCAGGCGAGGTCCTGATATTCGAATGAGGGCTTCAGGTAATACAATGCCATCTCCTGGTGGAAAACGGGCGTGATGGAACCGGATAGCGGCGGCACAATCCATATCCAATCGGCGGGACAGCCGTTCCTATGGAAAGGGAATCATTGCGTAAGTAATTGCTCATTATTGACGGGGTGGGGGGAGCTGGGGTTCTAAATCAAGACCCTAAGACTATGCTAAGCGCGATCCTGTTCTGCCTGCCACACAGCCAATGCAAATTGAAATATGGACAGCATATATTTAGTATTCCAAACGGGGCATTAGCATTAATTGGCTTATTTGTTCGTTGTCCGCCTGCTGCTGCCACAAGAATAGATGCACCCCGCCAGACAAGGCTTGGGCATCCAAATTAGTGTTTCAAAAGGGAGCTACCCACGAGCCGACGAGAGGAATTGAAAATAACGATCAAAGTGCAGCCATTAGTAGGTCAGAAAACAAATGTCCAAATGTGGCGATTAAATGACAAATCTGAATTCGGACTGTCTCGCATCAAATACCAATTCCTGGAACAACATAGAAGAAGTGTATGCCTACTTAGAATACGTAACATATTATCCTGAATGTGAACTTATCCAGAATTTAATCAAACCAAATGTTCCTTGTGGTTCCTAAGTTCCTTTGTGTTAGCTTAAGCCAAGCAGTTCTTTAGGGCTGAAGCCAAAAATAGCTACCAGTTAAGATTATACAATAGCGGCAACCCATGGACACAGCGACGTAGAAAAACAAATGAAAGGCGCAGTTCAATAAAATCTGGGAAAAATACATTTAACTGAGGGTTAATTTGGTTTGCTCTCGTTATGAAAATCCGAGATGTTCTTTCCACACCTATTGAGAGAATAAAAAGTTAATTAAATCATTCAAGATTTGGCTGTTGCCTAACACTGAACGTCAATTTAAAACGAAATTAGATTGGTTGAATTTATTCCCGATTCCTCCCTATTTCCAGACAGACTTAATGGACTATATGGCACTCCATTGTATTTTGACAATTTTCAGCTCTACATAATTAAACATTTTTCATTTTGCACCATAAATATGATAGGTACGGGAACTTTTACCGCCGGTAACACTACTCGACAAAATTGAACTTTTGATTTAGGCTGTCAACCAAAATTACTTTTTCTGATAGATTTCGCGATTTAAAATTTTTTGTACTACTTTATTATTTATTTTATGGTGTAATTTTTTTTAAAAGAATTTTTAAAATCTGGTATTTTTTTTCTTGGTTTTTTTCAGAGGTAGTGCTTCTATTTTTAACATAACTTTGGTATCTTTATATCTTGTTGCATAGAACTTTGCAGTTCTGAAAAGCTGAAAAAGCTTTTTACCAAAAATGCTACCCCTTTTCGTTTGCTTTGTTTCCAATCGGCAGTTGGGCCCGCAACCTTCCAAAAAGTATTTTTTGTCTATTTTTTCACTTTTTAGGTTTGGCTAACGAATTTTAGCTCCACCGTTTATCCATAGATTTTAATGAACAATACCTTAAACGACGCCTAATTAATGCGTTTATCTAAAACTAAAAATGTTGGCCAAAAAAATTTTTTTCGACTTTTCCCGAGTTTTTGAAGTCAAAATTTCTAAAAAAAATACCGCAAAAAATGATGAAATTTGAAAGCTTAATATCTTCCAGGCGTTAAGCTGCAGATACAAAAGATCTGGGTCGGATTTATAGCTGCGTTTGTCAGCTTTTCAGAACTGCAAAGTTCTATGCAACCAGATATAAAATACTTAAGTTATGTGAAAAATAGAAGCACTACCTCTGCAAAAAAAAAACAAACAAAAAATACCAGATTTTAAAAAATTCTTTAAAAAAAACTACACCAAAAAAAAAAAAACCATAATTCGCTAAAAATTTGTAAGCCCCGAAATGTATAAGAATTTTAGAGGTTGCTACCGAACTTTACAAAAAATTGTAATCAAGAAAATTAAAAAAAAAATGTTTGCTGAATGAGTTGGATAATTAAAAAGTAAGTAAGCAACCTGCAAAAGATTTTGCGAGCAGACAATACAACCCAGCGACCGCACCCGATCAGACACAACAAAGACAGCAGTAATGCGCCAACAGTATATTTACCCAAAAATTTGTATTTTCTTTCCGTGGTAGCAACCCCCAAACATTAAACCAAAAATTGTATAATTTTATTAAATAACAAAGAACAAAATTGGGGGTGCTCACTTGTATCCAATTTTTTTACGAGTAAAAGATTAGCGTATCGTGATCAAATATATAATTACATAAAATTGCTATTTTTCGATGATGAACATGTTGAATTGCAAAGCATTTAACGTGCGCGAAAAAAGCCAGAACACAGGGCTATCCTTCGATATAGTTGGGCAGATAAAATATGAAAAATGATATATTCATTTCTGTTCAGCCAAACCCCTCCCACTAAAGAGGATTTCCCCTTTGCGAGAAAAGAGAAAATTCTGACATATTGTACGGCATTTATGTGTCTCGCGAGCTCTTTACATAAACGCTGGCGACAGCAAATTGGAAACAATAAATTTATTTTTGCACCTGCAAAGAGTTTTCCCACCACTTTTTCGCTGAGCTTCTGTGTGCGTATGTGCCGGCGGAAGTCAAATAAAACACGTTAAGCCATAAACATGCGGCTGGGATATGCCATAAATGCAGACCCTGCTCAACCATAAAGCAGCAGCCGCTCCACCTCCACCATTGCTGCACTGCCTACCCACCCATAATTGCCGATCCAGACTACGCTTACCTCAACTTTGACTCGTTCTCGAAGTGCTTCATGAAGCTCTCGCTGGCCGTGTGGTGATCCACAATGGTCACATTGCGGCTCTGAAACGAGTGCAGCACGGCTATGTTCATCTCTACGACGGCCTTGTCCTTCCACAAGGAAGTCGGTGTCCGGGTGTCCAAATTCATTTTCAGCGCTACAGTCTGAAACAACAAAAAAAAAAACCATTTTGTGTGCGTAATTGAAAATTGATGGGAGAGTTCCCTGGGATACTCGTAGATGGTGTTTCGCTCTAATTGAAGAGTGTTGTCAAATTTCGATTACGGTTTTTGGTTTTTGTGGCCAGGAACTAATAATTACTGGTAACAGGGCTGGCCTACATGCACCAACAAGTGCCCTCGAGCACTGCAGCTCTGCAGCATCCCACTGACTGTGGTTGCTAAACCACAGGCCCAACTATATGTCAATTATAAATCCAGCCCCCAGCAATAGAAAGTTATGAGTAAAATCAACTGTGGTTGAGTTGTGTGCACACGACTCTTGGAGTTTATGGAATTTAAAGGAGATATTTTCCACTTCGCATTAAATTGCCCTCTACCTGATTCCACTTTTTTAGTAACTTTCTGTTTAAATGACTTCTACTAATATTAGCGGAATAGGATCGGAACTTTTTCATATAGTCGTCCGAATACAAATTTATGAAATTCGTGAATAAAAAAGGATATCAATATCCGCAATTTTCCACCTATCAGACAAGCACGTCAAAATATTTTGTGTGTGCTTTTATAATGATTGCATTATGACGTGATAAAATTGAACAGCATTTCCAATGGGAGCTAGGAGCGTAGGTGCATTCAGCTGAAAACTAATTAGGCTGGCGAAATCGATCCAAATGTCACTGGAGCTGCGTATATTTAGTTAAAGGCTATAATCACATGAGGAACTTATCAAGCGAGTAATTCTCTCTGGAACCTCTTCAAGCTTTAAAGCAGTTTTCCTTCTTAAGTGCTGTTAACCCACTTTCCTCTCTCCCACGTCACGGGCAAAAGAATGCCAAACGCTTTATGCCAGGCCAGCGAGAAAGATAAAAGAGGATGAGGCGCTGAAGGAGGCCGGCCATATAATGAAATAAGCGCCGGAACGAGCGGCTTGTACAAAGACAGCAAGGACATAAAGCGCGGACAATGTTAACGGAGTGAGGATATCAGGGTATCAATTCATAAATTACAATACCACTCCGCAGCCGGACCTTACCAGACTCAAACTTACCTCCAACATATTGCGCCGATTTGTGTCGCATAAATTCCGACAGCCAATCTCCGTGGACATGTACCAGCCGCTGAATGTGGTCGCTGTGAACTGGATTCCACCCACATCGAAAAGCATGCTGGAAACGGCGGGCAGCGCGTACCAGCGCAGCCCCAGCTCCGTGAACCACTCGAATCTGCAAAGAGGGGGCACATTGGACGGTTATTCATTTTCTACATTAATACTATCCATTACTATACATTCTTACTACCTACAACTTTCACTCGTTACTAATTAATTTGTATTTAGGTTTATTTAGACTAACGGATATTTTAATGTTGACTTCCAGTAGAACGTTTGTTTTTTATGTTTCCGTTATCATAGCCATAGTCTTCATAACATCACCTACAGCAAGTCTATGGATTAGTAATTTCTTGTTGAATTGAATATTTCACATTTAAAATATAAAAAAAAATTTTCAAAAAGTACCGACTTAGTCAACAAGTCAACAGCGTCCTTGGGTTTCAGAAAGCTTTCTCCATTGCAAGGGAAAGTTTCGTAGCTATTTCGGTACTCGAATAAATATTTATCAATGTGGCTTGCATAATGCTATATAAGTTCCTCCGCAAGGGAACAAGTCACATTTGAAGTATAAAACCTCCAAATATGAGAAGGTTTCTCGTTTTCCTAGTACTGATCGGAGTTGGCCAATCGACGGCAAAGCTGAACCGATTTGCAACTGCACAGGCAGAGCAACTTCACCAAGACCCATGGAAACGTGAAGGCTGAGAAGACGCTGCTGGCTGCGAAGTACGTGCTCGAGGCCCCTACAACAAGCTCGGCGCCCACCGAAACACTGAACAATTACGTAAACATGGAGTACTACGGTATGATTGGTATAGGAACCCCGGAGCAAAGCTTCAACATTCTTTTCGATACGGGATCGTGCCAAGCGCCAAGTGCAGAAGCAGCAACGAGGCTTGCCAAACTCACCTATGTGGCCAATGGGACGAGTTTTAGCATCTACTACGGAACTGGCAGCCTCACGGGCTTCCTCTCCACGGATATATTTTGGGTGGCAGGGATGAAGATCTAAGGGCAGACATTCGCTGAGGCAATCAAGGAGCCGTGGTCAACGGCATCATGGGACTGGAATTCAAGTCGATTGCCGTAGACGACGTGGACCCCGCCATTCGACAACATGATCGCGCAGGGCCTTCAAGATGAACCTGTCATCTCCTTCTATCTGAACCGTCAGGGACCCGCACTGCAAGGCGGTGAGCTCATCCTGGGCGGGGGAATCGACCCCAGCCTCTATACAGGGACTCTAACCTACGTCCCAGTCTCGAAGGCCGGTTATTGGCTCCGGCTATCTTTACCCTGGCACCGAATGACTACATCGTCAAGTTAACGGAGGCCGGTAAAACCCGTTGCATGTCCAGCTTTACCTACATGTCAGGAAACAAACTTTGGATTCTCGGCGACCTTTTTAATCGGCAAGTTCAATACGGTCTTCGATAAGGGTAATCAAGGATTGGATTTGCTAGAGTAGCTTCGTATTCATATTTACATTATTAAAATGTGGTGGTAATTGCCGCTTAAAAATCAGGTTACCTCTGATTGCTTTCAGCTTATTAAAATTGGGTGCATCTATCCCGTTGTTTGTATTTACAAAGAATAATAACGAGATGCATACGAGATGTACATATGAAGTCTTCGAGTAGCAACCATGTTTTTTGCTTTTATTAGTCATTTGGTTTACTTACTTGGGATGGGTCAGCGGCACTTCCAGTATCAATTCGGGCGGATAGTCAAAGTAGTCCGGATCATGACCGTTGGCGGAGACCACCACAGGCAAGATGTCCCATTCGCCGCCCTTGCTCTTCCAGCCAAGTTTAATGCAGACCTGCGAAAGAGGCGGCAATCAGTTAGGATGAAAGTGAACGGGATGGACGCATAGGCTAGATAGAGATTCGGATGGAACATCAAATAAATGTGAAGCGAAATCGAAAATCAACATGGTCAGACGCTGTCCGGACTGTGACGGCGACTGTGCCGGGAATAAAAATATACATGTGTAAAAATAAATGGAGATACTTTGGGGCTCAGTTTTACATGCAAATATATCAGAGTCAGTATGGGACTGCCACCCACTCTCTGGCAGCATCTGCCGCCCTATGACGTACTCGTATTTGTATCCGTATTTATTGACAGCTTTCTTGCTTGTTCGGTTTTTGCGTATTTAAAAAGAGATTTATTACAACGAGTTATAGGGCGAACTTTGTCGTTGTGCCGCCGTTTTTGTTGTTAGTGCTTTGGGGACTTTTTCAACTTGTTGGTTCACCGAAAGGTCGCCAGTAAAGAGCTGCCACAGATGAGCGGCAGGGAGCGGAAAAAGGGAGATTGGATCCCGATTTAAAGGCAGGAGAAATTATTGCGACCCAATACTATGATGGACGAGGGAGAATGTGTGAGAGAGTCCAATAAGCTCAATATCTGCATTAATATTGGGTATAATACTGATGAGCGGGTAAACCAATGTTAGAATTGATGGTTACTATATTTATCACCCAACAATGAAAATCAAATCCAAACAAGAAAATATACAAAAAAAAAAAATTATCATAATGTATTTAATTAACTTTCTCAATCTGCTTAAATATCTTCTGTCCGCTAATTATACCCTGTGCTCAAAGAGTTTAGGGGTATATTAGATTTGTGGGTGAAGTAGATGTATGTAACGCCCAAAAGTAAGTGTTTCCGAATCGATATAGCCAATGAAAAATTAGAATAGACCCAAAAAACCGAGAACTTTGGTGGCGTAAATTGGGACTTTGGCGGGACATAACGGCAGGTGTTGGTGTGATAGGAGAAAAGGGTAGACAGATGTAGCGGAATCCCCTCCAGCATTAATTAACAAATTAAGTTGTCGCTTTTGCGAACAGCTATACGATATACACAGATACGAGATTTCTGCGCTTACGTAAATTACGTATAAAATATTTTGTATAGCACACATAAATCATAAGAACAGACGAGTATGCTGACTGAGTGAGGCTATACATGTAGAGCCGTGGCCCTTGCCGCAGCTCACAACTTTCCCGCTCGTGTTAGTTGAATACAGTTCAGTTTCTTACCTGCGTCCATTCCCCTGCTCTACCCAAAACTTATGAAACTTCAGTTAATCTCACCTCAGTAAACTCCACATTCATGGGATCGCCAATGATCTTTCCGTCTGACTGCTTATAGCCGGCATAGGATATTAACTGATTATTCCAAATGCGATAATCGTGTCGGCCATCTGTACGCTGGGGAAAAATCGTAATTGCAGATCTATAACAAAAAAATTACGTAATCAATTAACAAGTAAAAAACTTTTAACAATTTTTAGGCACAACGCTTTAAGTTCGGAAAAGCTATATTTCCGAGCTACTATAAGCCTTTACGTATATATTTTAATGCGTGTGAAAAGTCAAAAGTGCAACATTTATGAGAGCTAGTATAAATTGAACCGCGACGGGTGGACTCTTCAAATATTTATGGAAAACCAAAATTGGCGGTACGGTATTTTGCAGACACGCGCTCGATTTGGCCAATTAGCAAGGAAAAACATAATTTGCCAATCACTTTCCACAAACACCGGTTGCCATACGTTGAGTAGATTATTTAAAAATTTGAATTTTGTGTGCCAAAGAGAATATGGAATGCGAGCATGAACAGCTGCATCATATTCAAGGCTTAAAGCGATTAGCGAGCATCGAACATGTTCTGCTCCCACTAATTACCATAAGCTGATAATTATTCTGCTTACCAAAATTCGAAAATATCCGCTGTATATGGGAAGAACATATTGGCCCAGAAAACATCTGAACAGTTTTTCTTTCATTTGAGTTTTTATATCCGGCGTCAACTCAACGAGGGTGCGCCCTCTCTAACTCTTTCTCTATATATCTCTCAACTACTAGTTTTTTCCCCAGTGTTGCCCAAACTTTAGAATGGTCACTTACCTCAGGTTACCTTTATTGGTTGCATATTTGATGTGGTTGCAAATTGCCTCGAACATGCCACTTGTTGTAGTAACATAACGGCAATCAAAGACCTGAAACAAAAATGACAAACTAATTATTCAAATCAACAACAATCCGTGCAAAATGAGAGACTTTCCCTGAAGCGTCTCACTCATAATTTGCATTCTACTCGTGGCAGGGGAGTCTGCTTTTCTACAAAGTTTAAATTAACTAATATATTCATATGCTTGCAGCAACTACAAGTACAAGCAACAATAAATACCAGTAGACAACAAATAATTGCTGTTACATGGCATCAAAGTGCCACTCCTGCCACCCTGAACTGTCCAACAGTTTTTGCGCGCCGTACAACAGGGCGCATGATAAATTTAACACAAATTTATATGTAACTTCTACATATATTTGTGTGGTTTTTAGCCATGGGGTCCTAACAATATAAGAGCGTTGTTTGCAACTTGTTCATACTTTTACATTGAAACCCTTTTTCAATTATACCGCTTCATTGCATTTTTTGCAACATTTCTGTTTCTATCTCTTGAGCTTCTACAAATCGTATTATTTTAGTGTTTGACGCACCTGTTTTTTTCGGGTTGTCCCCATTGGGGGAAAAAACAGCTGAAAGTACTAACACTTGGCTTTTTGGGCTTTCTGTGTTCGGCCCACTTGAAACTGAAATTAATTTCAAGCTTGGGAAACCCTTTTTCATACGATTTTCTGCTGTGTTGGCTTTTGTCATGTTTTTTGTTTGGGGAAAATCGAAGGAAAACGAGTTTCCTAATTATGTTTGGAAAACAAACCCAACCGAACCCTTTTGAAGTGTCTCACCCACACACATCCATTTCATTTAAAATAAATGTTTCCCCTTTTCTGGTTTTTGGCTAGTGTTATTGCAGACATTTTTGTAAATGGGTTTTGTATTATATCATGAACAGTCATGGTCCTAAATTAAATTATCATATGAGATATTTACGAATCACAAATTGGATATATGTATATATGGATGTATGTATGCAGTACTACGATTTAGGAAGCTTAAATGAAGAATAATACGGTTGCTTCGTTGAGGTTATTAAATAACACTACTCGACAAAATTGAACGTTTTTTTTCCGCTTCGAACCAAACAAACTTTTCAAGGTAGATTGGGAGCTTTAATTATACACGTACTCAAAACAGAGTTGAGGGGTATATTATATTTGTGGTAAAAGTGGATGTGTGTAACGCAGAGAAGGAAACGTTTCCGACCCCATAAAGTATATATATTCTTGATCAGCATCAATAGCCAAGTCGATAGAGCCATGTCTGTCTGTCCGTCTGCCTGTCTGTCCGTCTTGTTGAGCGCCTAGATCTCAGAGACTAGAAGAGCTAGGGCAACCAAATTTGGTTTCCAGACTCATGTGATATCACACTGCTAAAAGTGTATTTCAAAATTTCGCCCCGCCCCCTTCCGGCCCCACAAAAAACGAAAATCTGTGGCAGGCACATTTTTAAAGATACGATAAAACTAAAAACGCAGTATCCTAGAGAATGACCATATCTACCAGATTGCCGAATTTGAATCAGATCGGATCATAATTATAGCCAGAATGAAGAAATTCATTTTCAGTTGCTTCCCCTGCCCCCTCCTGACAACGACAACGCAACTCATTTTCCTTCTCGCTCGCACACTCTGCTGCGTTCAGTGCGAGAGCAACCCCCAGCGGAGGAGATGTAGAATATAAATGGTACAAGTACAATCTACATGTTAGATGTAGAATATACATTGTAGATATAGACAACAGATGTAGTTTTTTTTTTTAGTTCTAAAATTCTAAAAAATCATAAGCTCAAAAATGTATATACTGACTGAGTACGGGTATAAGTAGAGTCGCGTCCCCAGAAGCGACTCACACGTTCCTTATCGATTTTTGTGTGAATTTTTTCCGAAATTTTCACTCTATTTTTATACCCGTACTCAAAAAGAGTTAAGGGGTATATTAGATTTGTGGTAAAAGTGGATGTGTGTAACGCAGAGAAGGAAACGTTTCCGACCCCATAAAGTATATATATTCTTGATCAGCATCAATAGCCGAGTCGATATAGCCATGTCTGTCTGTCCGTCTGTCCGTCTGTCTGTCTTGTTGAGCGCCTAGATCTCAGAGACTATAAGAGCTAGGGCAACCAAATTTGGTTTCCAGACTTATGTGATATCCCACTGCTACAAGTGTATTTCAAAATTTCGCCCCGCCCCCTTCCGCCCCCACAAAAAACGAAAATCTGTAGCAGGCACATTTTTAAAGATACGATAAAACTAAAAACGCAGTATCGTAGAGAATGACCATATCTACCAGACTGCCGAATCTGAATCAGATCGGATCATAATTATAGCCAGAATGAAGAAATTAATTTTCAGTTGCTTCACCTCCCCCTCCCGCGCTCGACAACACAACTCATTTTCCTTCTCGCTCGCACACTCTGCCGCGTTCAGTACGCGAGCAACCCCTAGCGGAGGAGATGTAGAATATGAATGGAACATGTACAATCTACATGTTAGATGTAGAATAGACATTATATATGTAGATGTAGATAGCAGATGTAGCAAAAAAATGTAAAATGTAAAATTTTTTTTTTTTTTTTCTAAAATTCTAAAAAATTATAAGCTCAATAATGCATATACTGACTGAGTACGGGTATAAGTAGAGTCGTGTCCCCAGAAACGACTCACACGTTCCTTCTCGTTTTGCGTATAGGTGCGTTATCCATTTTATCACCATGAATCAAAAATCAAAAATCCTGTGAAAGTTCCTACAATTTTCTTGTCAACGTTACGTTTTTTGTTAATATATGAACTTCAGATTTTGGGTAAAAATTATGAAAGGGCCCAAAACGTTGGGACAGCAACGTTTTAAGCGGTAAAATGTGATTTTCGGAAATAAGTAAAGGACACAGGATTTATTTTATTTTCGACTTTTCGTGAGTTTTTAAAGAAAAATTTCGTAAAAAATACAACACAAAAATCATAATTTTTTCATTTGAAAGCTTAATATTTCCCAAACGGTTAGCTGAAATCACAAATTGTAGGGGACTTATTTATACCTGCATTTCTTAGCTTTTCAGAATAGTAAAGTTTATTACAGCTGTTTAGAGGAGGATACCACATGTATCACCTGGTTTAACAATAAAACGTCACGAACAGATTATTATACAAATATGTTTATTCTTGTCGATTAGGTCGATTAGGCGACGATGTTTCAGGTACGAGTGCTACGTCAAGACTCACTAAGGGCAGGCGGACCGAACTGCCCGTGCCCCAATACAAGCGAGAGAAAGATAGATGAAGAGAGCGATGGGGAAGGCGAAAGAAAAAAGAAAGATAGATGCATATATAAACCGCGATTCGTGTTTATACATATATGCGACGAAAGAAAAGTTCGAGAGATTGCATACAAGCATAGAGCGAGAGAGTGTTCGGGAGAACGAAAGAGATAAATGAAACGGCTATTACAGTGAGGGGGGCGGGTGTAGATACATGTCGATTACAATTAGGTACAGTGGGCAGTGCAAATAACGAAAAAATAACAGGAATTACTTTAAGGCTGCACCACTGACTAAAAATACTAAATAATGCTCGGGTGGTAGACCGAACAACAACCAAATGTAAGACACTTAAGTTATGTGAGAAACGGAAGTGCTACCTTTTAAAAAAGCTTTAACAAAATACCAGATTAAAAAAATTACTTAAACGAGGGGGTGAGCGCCTGGGCGCGACCACTAACCCGACCAGCAGCAAACATTTTAAGCATATATTATTTAACTGAATTTTACATTTACATTTTTTGCCGTTATCTACACTACATATCTATTATATTATACACTAACATGTATATTCTACATGTACCATTTAGATTCTACATCTCCTCCGCCGCACTGAACGCGGCGAGTGCGAGCGAGAAGGATGAGTTGTGTTGTCTCCGTCGTGATGGGGAGGGGGACGTTAATTTCTTCATCTGGCTATAATTAGCCGCTAGTCAGATTTGGCATCTGGAGTAGGGCATCCTCGCGGTTTTAGTTTTATCGTATCTTTAAATTGTGCCGCCACTTCGCCTTGGTGGGGGGGGGGGGGGCGCTGTACACTTGAGCGGGTATCACATAGCTGGAACCTTGGTTTCGCTGCGCTCGAGACCGGGCCACGGACGGACAGACGGACAGCGGACAGCGGACGGCGGACGGACGGACGGACGGACGGACGACAGACGGCACGCCGGCAGGCGATCGATATATCTTTATGGGGCGTCCCCGCGTTACACACACCACTTACCCCTAATACCCCAACCTTTTTTGAGTACGGGTATAAAAAAGTTCTTCTTTTTCACTAAGCATGTTTAAGCCCCAAATCTATCAAAAAAAAGTTGGTCTAGTTCAAAGCGGCGAAATCGTGTCGGATAGTGTAATTAGCAGTAGAACAATGAAGCCTGAAGGAATAAGACATTTTCCCCAACGTTAATAGTCGCAGTACTTAGTAAAGTATTTTGTCTTCTGTCTTCTGGCGCACTATGTATACATATGGGGTTCCCTGGCGTTCGTTCCGCGACGTGGTTATGTTACCCGTTGATATATTTGGTTAGACCTACATCACCAGAGTGGTTACGAGCGCGGTTTTAGATAGCCGGACGGGCCGGGGTCGGTTGGGAAGGCGCGGGTGATTTTGGGGGGGGATAGCTGTCCGCGGGGCACGCGTACGGCGGCGACCGAACTTTTTATCCTAAAAATTATATGCCGAGGTTGGACCAACGTCTGGTAATGGTTTTAGGTAGTTTATAGTTAGGCTTTAGGGCTTATTGACATCTTCTTCCTAGGAGATAATAGTAAAAGAAACATGTCCATAAAAATACCAGAAAATACCAAAACGTGAACTTTGCTTTTCATGGTTTTGGTGGTTGTTTGCTGTTGCCTTTGCGGTTGGCGGTTTTTTGCTTTTTATGTTTGGCGTGGCTTTGGGCGCCCAATTGGACTTTTATTATTATAAGGCTATAATACAAAATACAATCGAACGCCCAAGAGACAAATTGCAGTTCCACAAATATCCGTATGATTTGTTACATAGGAATAGCTTTAATTGTTTAATTTATCGATTAAATGTCAGACAGAAACGCTACTGAATCTTGAGACAAATCCAAAAACAAAATCTATGACATTTTATTAAAACTGAATTTTCGTTTGGTTGTTTTCAAAAGAATTCAGGAACACATCTGTTATTCTAAAAGCAAAATATGCTTTGACAAGCATTAGGCAATGGCATATGCATACATGTGAATGTATGTTTATATGAATGAATATATGAATGTATGTACATGCATGTACTCATACTCGTACATCCATGAATGTTTAAATTGAATAATGCTAAACAAATTCTGAAGGTGAATTTAGTGTCACCTTCTTCTTTTCGTATCCCAGTACCACTCTGCCATTCTGGCTTTTCTCCCACACACATGCAAATCATTCAGGCGTAAATGGAAATCTGTTCTTTCACACATTACCAAGCACCCCCACCGACAGGGGCGGAGACAGCCATTTTCTGTGCCAACTACTGATCATTATAATATGTATATATACTCGTACTCATTCATATGAATAAATCTCTGCCCCTGGGATAAAATTAAAATTTACGATGATTTGCATTTCAAATGCTGGCTTTGTCTCTGCCCATCCCAGCCTTGCCCTCCCTTCTGCGAGTAGTCGTCGTCGCCTGGTTTAATCGCGCTGTAGGCATCTATCATTTTGGTGGGACTCGCATAAATCTTGAATAATGGAAAGACTTGCATTTGTCTGCGATTTGGGCGCTGACAAATTCGCCCGGCTACTTCAGTGGGTGTATTACCCATATAATTTCGGGAATTGCACATAAATATCTAAGCCTAATTTGAGTTGATAAATTGATATAATATTCTGTGGCGGATGATGAAGGCTAATATTGTCGTGGCACAGTGCAAAAGAGGTCACGCCGGCAGTTGAAATAATCAAATTCTTTAGTTTTCTGGATGGTAAATTTGATGAGAAAATTGTGCCATAGTTTTACTCTTGTACTATGATCTCATATCAGTAATGATACTAGACCATAAATTAAACTTTCCTCCACATAAATCAGACAATGCGACACTCACCTGCAGCTTCGACCACTGAATGCGACCAATGCAACGTGAAGAATTGCGCCAGGCCAATTTGGCGCCATAAATTAGCTCGGTTTCAGTTAGCTGATAATATCCCAAGGTCTCAATGCTCTGGCGCACCTGTTTCCAGCGTGTTTCGTGGGCGGTGGAGGAAGTGCTGAGAAGGAGATATGAGCACGGAAAAACATTTTGCATAACGCTTTAGTTTGTCAAATTGTCTATAGGACAAGTCATACATACATATGTCTATCCATTAACCAAACACTTACCGCTTTATCGAGGTGAAATACTGTTCCAAGAAGTCCTTCGCGTGATCCAGCACCAGATCCGTTTTGCGCGCCTCGACAGCGGCATTTCCGAGACTCATGATGCTGCTTGTGCAAGTTCCCTTGGAGCAGGAAAGTATCTGCCAAACGGAGGGAGAAAAATAAAAGAGTCATAAAGTCATAGTGCCTGTGTTTTGACGGCTTTAATTAAAAAAACATAATTGCTCATTTTGGTAATTAAATTTTTATTGGCGATTCCCTCGCAGAGACAAATGAAGATGAATGACAGCTACGGAACGGAGAATTGGGGGGTACAAGACCTGCCAGTAATGGAGATTGTTGCCAGAGAGCAAGAATGAAATTAAATTAAAAATAAAGAAAACCAAAAGGAAAATCCAAAGCAAAAGTCTGTCCCACTGTTCTTTACCTGTCACTTCCCCCCACCCCTTGCTCTGGCGTGGCTGTGGCTGTAACTCTCTCCAGGAATCGTTTAGAAAGCATTTCACTGTCAATTGAAGACGGTTCCCAGCCCTTGCTTTTCATCCAACTTCTGGTCCTGCGCCTGCTTCTCGCCGTTTTTTATGGTGCGTGTCATTGTAATTTTCATTGGCACCATTCCACGCAGACCCGGCAGACTGGTTTCTTTACCTTTCCTCATGGTTTGTTTTCCCGACGGTTTAATTTACTCAACACCCCCCGTTCCCTCTCCGTCCATATTCTCCACGAAGCGCACAAGCACCCGCGGTCATAATTAGTTTGTTTTTCCAGGCAGTTGAGCTCTTGAATTGGCTTAGCCAAGTGTCGCATAAAAAACGCTCAAGCTCAAAGGAGCTGAAGTAGTGCAAGCTGGAAAATGTCATGCCGCCCTGCTGCTAAACATTAAATAGTGTCACTCATACGCCTTAGAAGGATCTCTTAATGGCTGGTTAACGATTACGAAACAATTGACTAAGTAGGATAAAAAAAAATTAAATAGAGAACAGATGCAACATTTTTGCTTGGGCTTGTGGAAATTGAAGAACCAATTATAATAAAGAAAATTGTAATAAAGAAGCAGCTGCACATATGTATGTAAGCACATACATTTTCTAACCAGAATCACCTACCCACACAAATATTTATACGAAGATGTTGCTCATATGCCTTCTCAAGGTTTTGTGAGGTGATCGTTTCGCACAGCCATCGACAAAAAGGCTCTCAGAATTGCTCAAAATATAATGGGGAAAAATACCTGCAAATTTTTGAAGTAAGCTTACATCACTCTTAGTTAAAAGGGCTAAAGGGACAGGGTACTGGAGCCTTCCTTAAATGTTGAGCTATAATTGCCAGAAAGCCCTATCTTCTTCGGCTCGCTTTCACACCCGGCCCACAACAAACTGCATTTGCACTTTAAACGAAGCCACATTGCCGAGATAGTTTTGTATGCACAGAACAGAAAGGCACCTATTACACATTTTCTCCTACCGCACAAACTTTGCCAATATTCACTCGGTTGCACAACTTTATGCACAAATTTATGCACAATGCAACAGCAGCAGAGAAACAGAGGACGGGTTGTATACTATGATTACCTACCGAGAGCACACGACAAAAATTTGTTAGTTGGAAACTGGACGAGTTATCATTCCCGAATCAGAAGGGGCATATGAGTGTGAGGCTGTTTCTTGAGGCCGAGCTTCGCAGTGAAATTATCATTTTCTGAGGACGGAGATCTCATAAAGCAACCAAACATTTAACCAGAATTTGCAGAGGCTGCCTCCGCTCTTCGCAGAGCAAATGAAATTTTAGCTGGCAAAGCCGGTATGCAAATAATTGCCAGCCCGGGACTCGTAGCACTCAAAGTTGTCCAAAATTGTTTTATGTAAATATAAACAGCAGACAGCGCCCGTTCGGCTGCGGAAACGGAAATTGTTGCAGCAGCAGAGCGGCAAGTACTGGTAAATGCGTGAAGACACACTTACACATAGACACGCTTGCCAAAGGGAGCAGGGCGCTTGAAGTCGTGCTTTTAGGCTTGGGTTTCCCCGTGCCACATGCTGCCCATGCCCCTCGACTGGGTGGAGAGTGCACATCTGCACGGCGCACTCCTGCTGCACGCCAAATTTTTACTTTTTCATTGTTCGCAGTTGTTCTTGGTGTTTTCTCTAAAATTATGTTCTCTCCCTCGTACAAGTGGCACAAGAGCTGTCGGTTGCGCCGTGGAGCATGATATATGTATCAATCAGCAACGAATAGCGAGTACTCTGCATGACAGGGATATTGAGTGTTATCTATCTGTTACAGGGATATTGACTGTTGACAGTTTGAAGTATCAACACAACATCAGAAGAATCACAATTGAAATTCAAATTATGAATTAACATCATTTGATAAGCCAGGTCCACATGAAAATTGAGATTGTTTCAATGAAATTCATCAGTCATCACAAGATAGACAATATATCTTTCAAACAACATCGAATTTGCTAAAATTCCCCAAGAGACTTACTGTATTTCTGTGTAGTACCAGATACATCCGCCGAGAGGATTCAAATATTAACTGCATTCTGTGGCAGTTAACTCCGCTCTGCCACTTGCACTTGAGCTTCCGGACAATAAAGAGAAATTTAAATGCAACTGACACCCCATACAAATGAATTTAAGTTCCGGGCAAATGAGAAATGCACATATTTGTTCAGTTTTTTAAAGAGAAATATAAAAGTCGATGCACAACTGCATTTAAACAAATTTCTGTGGCCACAATAAGATAAGGCCAAAGCCAAGATATGGTTGAAACGCAATTCCTTCAAGTTCCATTAGCAACAACTTTGCTGTAATTAAATAAATAAACGCCCATCGCTTGCGCTAACGTCCAGATGGATATTTCACACGATTCGGAATAATCACCTGATCAGGGATGCACAGAAGGAGCGCGACAGGCCTCTATTTGCATGTTAACCGGGTATAGTACTTTAATAAAATGGCTGACTGGAAATACGAGTTTATATTTTTGAATTGCATAATTTGGTGCACATTAAAATGCAGCGGGAGAGGAACGTTAGGGGAGGTGTCAGTGGAAAGGACAGGACCGCGGGGAAATGAAATTTGATTCCGCTAAAGGATTCGTAGCGCCATTTCCGCTGTTGGCGTTGGCGTTCGAGCTGACGCTGACTTAATTAGCATGGCAGCCGAAGCTCTTGCTATAGATGTAGCTGTTAACTGTAACTGTAACTGCCACTTGGTGCCCTCTGGGTTAGGCGAGCAGAGTGCAGTCGGGGCACTTCCTTAGATAATTGAGGTTAGGTGCCACAACTTTAAGGCGACATCTGACCCCACAGACTCTTCGCTTATGCAATTAGCACCCTGCACCCTGTCGCGACGTCCTAATGAGCTGTGCACAACACCACCGCCACGGCAGTTACTGAATCAGTTTTGGGTAACTTATTTGCCCCTCTGAAGGTGTGCCAATTAAATTATGCAATTTGGTGAGGTGGCTCGTAATAGCTGCTAAATGTTAGCTGAAAATCTAAAAAAATATCTCTTAATAAAACTTTGTTTTTGCAAAGAAATCACAGTAGGTAGGTACACTTAAATGTGATTCTGACACAGAAGACGTACTCAACTAAGGTCTAGCCCCTAAGATCTAAAGAAAGTAGAGCTCGCAATGTGAGCACATTAAGATGAGAGATTTGTTGTTCAAGCGATGGTTTAAATGGAAGTCACTTGAAGATTGATCATCTTTTAATGGATTCAACTTAAATATGTATGTACCTATGAATGTGTATTTTTCGTTCATTGATATCTATGCAAAGATTCAGAAAGAAAGTTATTCATGCTGACTAAAAATCTTTCCAGTATGTAAAAACTCCTTCCAAACGGGTCTGCCGATTTAAGGCAATTTTTTTTGTATATTTAGTAGGTATGCGATTAGGTTACTTATTATATTTCAACTTTTTACAACCACCTACCATTTTCTATCCCGGATTTTATAATTTTTGTATGTACATATTGAATTCAAACGAGTTAAATTTCCGATTAGATTGGCATTCGAAATGACAATTGATAATTCGCAAAGGCAAATGATGTCCAAAGACGTACTGACAACAATATCGTAATTATTTAAATGGCGAAACAACGTTTGCTAGTAAATTTAAAGACTATTTAGGATGAGAGATTTTTCGTTTAATATGTTGAAAACATTATGTGAAAACCATATATGTATATCGTGAAATACAAAGTAAATATTGTTTTGTAAATTATCAAATACTTAAAAAAATATGGGGGGGTAGTGACCACAGCTGAATGTACATAAATACTTGTACTTGTAATTGTAGACCACACACAAAATATGGAAACAGAGAAAGGCGAGTAAACTCCAAGCTACTTTATTACGATGCGATGGAAAAACTTTGGCTGCCAGGCCAAAAGGGAACGAAAGAGCGCACTAGGCCCAGACAAGTAGGGCCTTCTGCTTAATCCGCAGTCCTGGGCACGCACTTGGCCAACTTTTATATAACAAACTGCTGTAAAACGTTCCAATGGAAGACACACAAACGGGCAGTCACCCACGGACGTACACATGTGCACGAATGTACGAATGCACCATGGGAAATTTGACCACTTTTTCTGGCAAAAACCCATTTTTCAAAACTAGTTAAATTAAGATATTTGTAGATCTCATATATTCGAATAACATTGATCTTAAATGTTACGAAAAAAAAAAAGTTAACAGCGCACTCCACTGTTAAATTAACAGGTGTTAAAGTCAGCTGTTTGCTATCGCAAGGCGAATGTTTGTGCAAAAAGTTATTTTTTCATCTTGTAAAAAGGGCTAAAAAGTTATAAATTCATCAATTTAAGTGCTTTCTTTACAATGGGTTCGATTTAGACAGGTATGTAATCTATGTTTATGAGTTTGAACTGTAAAAATTTCACTCATAATAATGTTTAATGACTTATTTTTAAAAAGTATAAATTTTTGACAAAAATGTGTCTTTGAAGAGGCGTACAAAAAAAGTGACTACTCGTGCGACCAAACGACTTAATGCATCTTGTAGAAAATTAAATTCTTGTTCAAAAGTTTATCATGGTTATCTGCGCGTGGGTGCGTCTTCTATCTTCTATCTTGAGTCTTAGACAAACAAATTAGGACTGCAGCAACGTTTAAAACGGTAAAATGTGATTTTTGGAGGGCTCGTCAACCAAGCTGAGTCATTTCTCTATCGATTTTTATGAACAATACTTTTATCGACGCCTAATTGATGCATCTACACACAACAAATATAAGCACAAAGAATACGGTTTGTTTTCGACTTTTCTTTAGTTTTGAAAGTCAAAATTTTGAAAAAAGTACTGATCAAAACCGATCAATTTTGCGTTTTTAAAAGCTTTATATTTCCCAGACGGTAAGCTGAAGCTACAAGATGCTCAGGTCTGTTTTATAGATGCATTTATCAGCTTTTCAGAATGTCAAACGTCATTGCAACCAAATGTAAGATACTTAAGTAATGTGCAAAATAAAAGAGCTACCTCTGAAAAAAGCATTACCAAAAAAAGTTCGATTTTGTCGAGAAGTGATATTGACCGATATCCTTGGTTGTCAATCACTGCGACAGTTCGAAAAATCCTAGTGCATTCAAGCGATATAAAAGAAAACAAGATTCTTCCTGTGGGATATTTTGCAGAAGAGGGAGCCAAGTGTCGAAATAAAATTTATAAAATTTTATATTTAAAATGAGGCTGAATAGAAAATTTCACGAACGTGTTCCATACTTCAGATACTATTATCTCATCTGTTAACTTTGAAAGCAGCATACAAATGCAAAGTATAGCCCCTTCCAACAGAGGTGTTCGGTCTTTTATCAAGCGAGTTCAATCGTTCAGGCAGAGATCCACCGGAGCAGAGTAGTTTCGATGAGCTGGCTGAAGATCAACTCGAATTCTCGTGGATGATGGAGCTCGAAAACGAACTCCATGAGGATTAACAAAAGGTGTGATAGGAAACCTATTATTTACAATAAAATTGTATTTCTTTTCTATTTCAGGTCTCCTGATAAAAATGTTTGTGAAAAAGCTACCAGAAATAATAATTTTTACTTTTTTTAAAGGCGTGCCACGCCCTCTTGAATAAAATAAAATGATCTCAACACGTTTGTTTTTTTGCCTTTTAAGCAAAAAAAAAAATTGTTATTTCTTTATAAAAAAAGGAGTTGCCACGCCCATTTTTTCAAAAAACCTTCATTTTGCTATTATAAACTCATATCAAAAAACTAAAAAAATATTGTTTCGCTTGGAAGTTATTAATTATTGCCACAAAAAGTGGTCAAATTTCCCATAGTGGAATGGATAGAGAAGTAGTTACACACACACAAGCAAACTTACACACAATTACATGGCCCACTAAGAGCCATGAGAGTATTAAATAACTCCTACAAGTATGCAATGCTTCTTTTGCTTGTGGAAACTCTCATGCTCGCTCTGTATGCATTCCAAGCCGAAACTTTTTGCACTTAGACCGAGTAGAGACAGTCAGAGAACATTCTGCGAATTGTTTTACTGCCCGTTTATTGCACATTCATTCGTGCCCGTACAGTCCTTGGTCTTCAGACCTTTTCCCAGCTACGTGCATGGGCTAATTACAGCCAGAAACCTGAGCTGGGCCAAAAACCCTTGCTCAGACGTGACTCACCTCTCGTCCCTTAGAGTGCAGTGTGTCATAGACCTCCGGCCTGCCCTCAATGTTCTTCAGTCGCATCGGCTTACGCATCAGCACGCTGCGTCCCTCGTCGTCGAGATGCATGAAGCTGCAATAGAGATGAAGTTAAAGTGAGTGCGGAAAAGACTAGCTGGTGAGATGGAAAAAATCTTGTGACCGCAGCATTATGGTAGCTCTCTGCTGAGTTTGGAATCTAACTCTCATTCGAATAAGCTCGGGCTGCGCTCGCGCCACCCATGACAAAGAACTAACAGAGTTGGCCGAATGTCTCTCTTCATTTCAATTTGCAAAGAGCGCACTCCACTGCAGCTAAGCTGCCGCTCGATACATCGTTTCTCCTTCTCCTGTGCAGTGATATAACATTGAATTTACAGCACGAAGCTCTTGGAATCTTTACATTAATCTGTGCATGTAGCACAGAGAAAAAAAATAAATACAGGGACCGTTGGTTCCTCGGTTCCTAGTATGTTTTATATACATATATCTAATACAAATACAAATAATATCGAACTTCCTCAGAACTTTAAAAATAGATTTCTATTTCATCGGTACGTTTATTTAAAAAATTTGACCTAGAAAGCCAGCTAACATGAAAATTACTAAGCAGACAAAATTCAATTTGGGTAAAATTTCCGTATTGTATATTATGACTAACATTTTGTAACTCGTCCTAAGCAATACGTTCCCGTTTCAGCTATTTCCATGGCTTATTAAGATGGTCCTTGCCTGTACGATGAACGTTTTAACTTTTTTTTGCGTCTCTGTCGATCATGTTTAAATTGTACACTTGTCTTGTTCACTTTTCTAGTTTAACCCCAAGTACCTACAAATGTTTAACAGTCGTCGCTGGGATATCCCCTCAATTTATCACACCTACTCTGCCCAGTTCTGATGCGTTTGTGAGAAATGCAACTATTACCTGCCGGCACGCGAACGATAATCCTGCGACATTTTTCTTGGCTGCTGCTGGTTTTTGGGCGAGGGCGAAAGTTCCCGTGAACTTTTGCCGGATGCCGTACCGCTGCCAGAGGCGACGCACACCGCCGTCGCGGCTGACGCAGCGCCTCCACTGTCGAGCTCCACAACGATACTCGTGCTTGTGCCTCGGCGCTCACGAACAGGGGGCGAAGCCGTGGAGATACTAGCGCGCTTGTGGTTCTTCAGTGGCGTACCACTACTATTACCACCGCCACTTGATGTTGATGCGCCCGCTCCCACTCCTGTACCTGCTGCGGCACCTACTACCCCAACTCCTGGTGTGGTTGCTCCGCCACTGTGGTCCACTTGATGGCTGGAAGACGAGTCGGCACCGCCGCTAACGGCATCAAGACTTGTGCTCAAGAGTCCATTCCCATTTACCGTGGGCGCTGTTTGAGATTTGCTTTTTATTCTATTTTGTTGTTGCGTCACGCACGGTGAGGGGGGAGTTGATTTCGGTTGCTGCTGCTGTTGTTGTTGTTGTTGTTGTTGTTGAGTGTTTGTCGTCCGTTTGATGGTCACAAAACGCAGGTTCTCAAGTATCGATGTGAAATGTTGCGACATCTTGTCCAGGGCCTCCTTCAGTGTGCTCTCGACCGTCCTCCTCGGCCGATTATTGCTAGCCGCGCTCGTTTAAATTGCAGCCAACAGGTGAACCTCCGGACAGCTTCCTCTTCAAGTTTTTGATTAAATTCTCTTGTAAAAACTCTGTGCGCTGCTTTTTTTCTGGCCAATTCATTCAATTGGTTCACTGCAGATTGAAAAGTTTTCAGGAAAGTTATGTTAGCAGTTTGAAAGCCATAAATACGGGTGTAGAACTACTGCGAGTACTCTAGGTTAAGCTTATAGATCAAACACAGCGGAGAATGCGCTGCCAGATGCTAAGCAGTTAAAATAATCGAAGTAAAACGACCGCCAGCGAGTGGGCAGTGCAAACAGGCACAAATGTCACAGGCAACAGCTCTGCCTATGCTTCGATTGTGTTCATACCCGGTGGCACTCGAGGGAGCAGGGGTATATTGAATTCGTGTAGGTCAAAGTATTTCTGATAGCAATAATTGTATCAACCATCAAGATCCAGAGTAACTCACTAACTGTATTACAGTGGTTGGAACCAATAAAAATATTAAGAGTAAAACATAAGACTGTTAGGAACCAAATAGACGAAAAATTAGCTTTAATGATATATTAAAGGTTAAAAGGTTAAAGGTTTAAGAACAGCTATTACTCGTATGTAAATTGTTGGTTTTAAATTTGTTTCGCCGCTTCGAACCAGACCAACTTTTTTTGATAGATTTGGGGCTTTAAACATGCTTAGTGATACTTTTTTTTTTCTATGACATTAATTTTTTTAAGATTTTTTTAAGTCTGGTTGTTTTTTTTAGGTAGCGGTATAGGTAGCGCTTTTTGTTGTCACATAACTTAAGTATCTTACATTTAGTTGGAATAAACTTTGCTATTCTGAAAAGCTATAAATAAGACCCCTTCAATTTTTGATTTCAGCTTACCGTTTGGGAAATATTAAGCTTTCAAATGCAAAAATTATGATTTTTGTGTGGTATTTTTTACGAAATTTTTGAATTTAAAAACTCACGAAAAGTCGAAAAAAAAAAATGAAAATAGTTCACTTGACAAAGAGTCAGAGAAAAACCTGACCATTTAGAAAAATTTGAGAGCCAGAATAATTAAACGTTTTTTTGTAATCTCCAAGAAACCAATCACTGTGCCAGGTATTTTATAGTTACCGAGTAACATTAAACTAGTGCAACACTGTAGGCACTAGGTTAATGTTAGTTGATGTTTGCCATCATCCGTGTATACAGATATCTCCCCACACACACAAAATGACTAAGGATCGTAGTAACTGAAACAAGAGCAAAACAAAGGCTGGCTTTTAGCTTAAAAAAATAAACTTATGTAATCAAAGCCAGCCGGCCAATTAATTGATTGATTGATTAGCCTAAACAAACAAAAACACTCGCACCCAGAAGTACGCCGACCCAAATAAAAGCAAATTAAACAAAATAAGCCGAAAATTGCGGCCATTTTCATTTGTATTTTGATTTGCTGAAGCAAACAAGCGAGCCTCGCCTGCGACAAATTATTGAATCCGGTAATAGATGGCAAAAGACTAGGCGAAATAGGAAGCATTGAAAACCACTATGATTTAACCTGATGTCACGAAACAATGCACAGCGAATTGGTGGCTCTTTATCGTACAATCTCCGATACACAAGTGTTCTTATAGAGAGATGCGAGTATATCGACAATAACTCCGACTATTCTTACTGTCACATTAATTTTCAGAAATCTATGTATATAAAAATGAGTCCCTATTTCTCTTGGTCACGGCATCACGCGTGAACGTCTGGACCGATTTCGCTAATTTTTATACCCGTACTCAAAAAGAGTTGAGGGTTATATTGTATTGTGGTAAAAGTGGATGTGTGCAACGCAGAGAAGGAAACGTTTACGACCCCATAGTGTATATATATTCTTGATCAACATCAATAGTCGAGTCGATATAGCCATGTCCGTCTGTCCTTCCGTCCGTTTGTCCGTCTTGATGAGCGCCTAGATCTCAGAGACTATAGAGCAACCAAATTTTGTTTCCAGGCTCATGTGAGTCTGCAACAAGTTGTATTTCAAAATTTCGCACCGCCCTTTCCGCCCCACCAAAGGACGAAAAACTGTGGCAGGCACATTTTTAAAGATACGATAAAACTGAAAACGCAGTATCGTAGAGAATGACCATATCTACCAGATTGCCGAATTTGAATCAGATCGGATCATAATTATAGCCAGAATGAAGTTGCTTTCCCGCTTCCCTCTCATGAGGCACGCTGCTCATTCTCTTTCTCGCTCGCACACTCTGCCGCGTTCAGTGCGAGAGCAACCACCAGCGGAGGAGATGTAGAATATAAATGGTACAAGTACACTCTACATGTTAGATGTAGAATATACATTGTAGATGTAGATAACAGATGTAGTTTTTTTTTTAGTTCTAAAATTCTAAAAAATCATAAGCTCAAAAATGTATATACTGACTGAGTACGGGTATAAGTAGAGTCGCGTCCCCAGAAGCGACTCACACGTTCCTTCTCGTTTTTTGTTGTGTTTGTTATTGTCAGGTTTTTATGAAAGAAAAAATTAAGAAAATTTAAAATTTAAGAATACTTTAAAAATGTTAATATTATTTTGCTTGATTTTTTGTATGGAAAGTGTTACATAAATAAAAAAAATTGTTTTTTGTGAGTATTATCATCATTATATATGTATGCATGTTATTATTATATTATACAATATATGTATACAGATTAATAAAGATGCTGCACAAGAAGATGGTTTTCAAATATGAATCCGTACGAGAGATAATAACATGAAGCATCCATATGCGTAGCGGGAGACGGAATGGGAATTCCCGGAAACGGGAATGGAATATTGTGTATTTTATACCCTCCAAATATGGCAAAAACAAATTTATGTTGAACGTATTATTCGAGTCACTTCTCATCCATGCAACAGCTAGTACAATATACAATATTCTATGAGTACTGATTTAAATAAAATCTTGCAACCAATGGGTAATTAGAAAGACAAAAGGAATGGAAGGGACATTCTCAGTGTTAGGAGGTGGAAGAGGTAATAGACAAACTATTCGTGCGAATGTGTGGGTGCCAGCAAAATAAATGTTTCGGCAAATGATTTCGAATTTTAATGTGCGTTGAGTGCTCATTGAACAGAATATGGATGTGATGGTAGTGCCCTTACTCATACGTACGAGAATGTGCCAGTAGCAGTTGCAGAAACAATCGGTAAACCATCAAAGCGGAATCGATTTCACCAGTCATTCAGTTTTGCTTGGCAGTAAATAATATTGTGAATGAGGGAATCGAAATCCACAGATACAAAAATATATAGCATGCTCAGTATTTTCAGTTCTTGCTAGGCGTGGCTGTGACCCTGTTACCGATGGGTCTTTGTAATGTACAAAAATGTCTGTCTCTATATTCGAATAAACCTCATTTAACTGCCACGCCACTGCAGTGCACTGCTGAGACATGCAATTTTAACATCGAATTTTAGAGAAGGAAGCTATACCATAGTTTTCTGTTTATCTGAGACCGAGTGACTTTGTTGCAAACGCTTTTCAGGTGTCACACCAGGTAAATACTCGTAGGTTTTTAATTGCGAGGGACTAGGTATTTAGAAAATTCAAACATGATCTCCACTTATAAAGTCCTTCATGCTTCGATCTCTTTAAAAGAAAAATAAATCATGGCGAACCTATAGGACAACCACCATTATATGTGCATATTTGGCACTCAAAAATTCGAATAATTTGTGGTATTCTGAAAATGTCTTTAAAAATCAAAGAATTCAAAATCTCAAAAATGTTCATAATTGATTTAATTTAACACTTGGCTTGCTCTCAGGCCTACATACCTACATATGTACATATGTATATATATAAGCGCTGACCATTTCTTCAAACACATCTGACGCTCAACAAATAAACGAGCCGCGAATGGAAATGTTTTCAAGAAAAAGGAAGCACCATCTGCCGCAAAAGAAGAGCGTGAAAGGTGATTCGGCGTGAAAGGTTAGACCCATTTGAATCCGGTTGCCGAGGCGCCCACCAAAAGGGTGCAACAGCTGTTGTCTTAAACTTTTCGAACGGTTATAAGCTCCCCCGTCTCAACCGCGTTAGAGGAGCGAATAACTCTGTCCTCGTATTGCTCAACAAATTAAAGGTAAACTAATTGAATTTTCATAGACCAGTGAGAGCTTCGTCACTTTTTGATTAAGACAAGTTATTCGTAGCCCGCGCAGTGTCTTCTGGTTTTGTGGTTTTCCCTGTGGAAACTTTCCATAAAGACAATTTTAATTGCTGGAAATGTTCATGGTCCATATGTTTGCGTCTGCTTTTCAATATTCCTTTGCCCCTTCCCGTTCCCTTACTAATATGCGCCGCGGGAATTAGGAAGTTGCTGAGGCGGAAAGGCCGCAGGTCTCTTCACTATCTCAGACAAAGTCTCTGCATTATACGCGTAGTTGAAACGATTTGTTGTTTTTAAGTCTTAGCTGATTTATAAATAAGCGAGTGGATAATTATTTGAGATAAATTAAATAATTAAATAATTTGGAAACCGGTGCAAATCAGCTCGACATCTATTTCAATTTTTCATTCTCAGCCGTTTTCAATGGAACAGCAAAGTCATAAGTATGATTTCCAACATAGATCCTGTTATACTGTGTTATGAGACAGTTTTATATGAGATCCTTTTATACTGATTAATTACAAAAATAAATGGTTGTTTTATTTGGTTCCTTGAATCATTGTCAAATCCAGGTATTCGACAGACCACTAGCAGTCCGTGATTGAGTAATGTGGCATGATTGCGTTAAAACCACATCTTTCTACCTGTACATTACATTACATATATGTATATGTATTGAAAATACTTGAACACACTTTCAATACACACTTTTGTCCAAAACAGTATGACAAAGAAACATGAAAGGGTTTTCGCTCATGGAAAAACATAATGGATAAGATTCACAAGTAAAAGTATAATTCAATCCCAATTGCTTTCCATTTCCCACAGCAGAAGTATGCAAATCTCAGATTTTTTTCGCTCTCAACACTTTGGCTTCACCTCAGTAGCCCCCAAATTCCTCCTCATCGGTTTAAGCCCAATCAATTGCTTTAAAATAAACTCTTACGCGAAGCCATAGCAACAACGACAGACGCAGAAAGCTTTCAGTATTATCTCAAATGACAACACAGCCGCGTGAAAAGAATGGAAACCAAAGGAAATCGTATATTTGAAAGACAAAAGCAAACAGTATACAAAAAACCGAAAGAACATGCTGGCATGCACAATGCAAAACAGCAAACAAACACAAATAAAAAAAGAAATCTGAAAACCGGAAAATCTGTTAAGAAAACCCATTTAAATGGGCAACCAAACACGGTCAAAACAGGCAGGGAAGCTGCCAGGGACTATGTGGGTGTGGTGTTCTTTCCTAGGACGACAGGTACCAAAATGGTTTCAACTAAGGCCCAGAGCCGTCTTCGCTTTAGTGTCGCAAGAAAGCTGGGATTCGGACGGGGACTTACGTACTCGTAAGAACTCAAATGACAATGATGTGGACAAAGTGACCATAAATGGAGTCATCTTCTTCAATGGCCTAAGTATTTGCCTTCTAGACAAGACATTTGTACAAATTAGGACCATTTCATTGTGTGCCACGTTTAAATGTAAAATGGACTTTAGATGATGCTTAAGTTTTTTTACATCTTCCTATCTCAAAAACTCTTAGCAATTAATTGGTTAAAGTCCACTTTGACACATTAAACACTTCGTAAGATTCATTTAAACATGATATTTGGCTAGATAAATCGCTGATTGATGGATAACGTCTGTGCACAATATTAATAAAAGTCAAAATTCAAATAGCTGACACCTACATATGTACAATTTCGCAAGCCTTCAAAGCCAAAATATTTTAATATAATGAGTAAATTGAAAATCCGCAACTCATATACATAAGTACAGGTGTATGTAACTTAGTCTCGTTTGATTGAAATTCATTTTTTACTAATATAAATTTAAAATTCATCCATACTCAGCTGGGGAGTGGATACAGGGTTCTATTTATGCATTGAAAGATACTCCAAGTAAACGCAAACACTTTTACAGGGCGCCCGCAAAGTGGACAGGATACTGTGGCCATCCCTTGGTTGGTTCAGAAAAGGTAAGCGAGGTTTTTTATTCGCCAAAATTGTGACTAACCGACATTTCCATATGAAAGGGATAGCGATGAATTGCCATGAATGCCAGCGGCATCAAGCATTCCCACATCCCTAGGAGTGCATGAGTGTGTACACTGTACACTGTAACATGTATGAAATATTCACACATAATGTCGGGAAATTTATACTTCTGCTTTTCTTTGCAATGTCAGCCTCAGCTGCGGTTGCCGTTTTGATAGTCAATATTGAATGTTTATTTATTGTTTAGATGTATGGAACCTGACCCAAAAATTTTAAAGCACATTTTAATGTAGCTTCTGCTAAATAAAGAAGGAAAGTTTGAAACGGTTGCGCGGGGTTATATGTTCGAAGTATAACACTCAAAAGATTCCTTCAACTTAAAGCTTTGACTTCTAATCTTAAATTGAATTTTTGGAAAAATGTCTTTATTATGAGAGTAAAGCTTCTTTAAATGCATTTAAATTATAAAAATATCTGTGTACTCGTATAAAATCCAGATTCCAATTTTCTAGCCTAATTCTGGCAGTTCTTTTGTTCGCTACCAGTTCGTTTCGCTGGCTTTCAATAGCGTCTTCAGTGCAGTCCAACAATTGCAGGCATGACATTAGCAACATTATAATTTTTCCCGCAACAAAACGGAGAAATCTGTGGGGATAGGCTGGGTGAGGACAGACAAGAGCTTGTCACCCGTTCAACATCCGCAGCTGGGACAGGGCTACCGGAAGTGGGCCCAAACAAACATCCATCCCCTGAAATTTTGCTCGGGTGTACATTTTTACTGCTAATTGTTTTTCAATTTACGTTGGAAATTGAGTTAAGAAGATGTTTTATAACTGTCATGAGAGAAGTACATTTTCAGCTCTTTGGCGAACTTGAGTACTTAATGGGCGTCAAGTGGTCGGGTTTGAGTGGTAATTATTAGTAAGGCATTTATTAATGATTCACTTCCATTAATTATCTTATCTTAAGGGAATACTCCGCGTCACCCTGAAGAGGATTTTGATTTACATGAAACTAGGATTTAAAAATGCCTTCAACATTAATCAACTGACTTTAAGGCTTTAGGTTGCTTAGAATTGAGTAATTATTGGGGCCATAATTACTATATTAACACTTCAAAAACTACTTACATATGGGCAGTTCCGCCAAAAAAACCACCAGCCCAAAAATCATAAAAAGTCAATAAAAACCGATTTCTATATAATATTTTCCGGATATTTTTTTCTAAATTTATTGAAAGGTAACTAATTTACTTTATTCACATATAATTTCATTAACTTTCAACCTAAAACCTATGAAAATAAGCAAAAGTTCAGGTTTTTGGTATTTTCTGGTATTTTTATAGACATGTTTTCTTTTACTATTATCTCCTAGGAAGAAGATGATTCTTGATAAAAGTTTCTGCTTAAAGTCTTTCTAATATATTAAACTACCTAAACCCATTATCAGAACGTTGGTCGAACCTTGGCTAACAGTATATTTTTAGGCTTTTATAATCGCGGAATTTGGTAACGTAACGCCAGTAACGTTCGCCAGATGCCTCCGCGGATTTTTAACAAAAAAACAGGAAAAGTTTTTACATTTAATAAGTTTGAAAATTAACTCTCAATACTTCATTTATTAGCACAAAAAATGTTATACAGATAGCCCTATCCAATTCGCAGAGTTTTGCCATTTTGTACCCCAACCTCGAAAACCACTTCTGTTTTATGTAACGCACTTTTAGGTCATACTTTGGCTTATATCTTTAAAACCGTACCCTCGATCATTGCCAATTTTCTGGTGAATATAGGTCTAACCAAATTATATTCGACGAGGATAATCTTTTTTCCAAATTTCAGTTTTTTGACTATTTTTTTCAACATTTTGTCGTACGAATGTAACGTAACGCCAGATAGGAACTGCCCATATGTACATTATCAGATTTAACTGATTTCTTTGCATCTATTACTTCGTATTAGTAACATTAGTAATATTGTTGGATCAAGTATGCAAGTGACGTTTAAATTATTAATCAATCTTTATAATTCGAATTTTCGGCTATCAGCCAGAACCGGAAAATAAATTGTTTATTTTAGATGATTGATACAGAATCAACTGGATTATTATATGAATGACAAACCGGAATTGTGTATTTCAAACGTATTCGATATCTTTATGAAACATGCTGTCAAACCCTGGTACTAAATTGGTGCATTTTGCAATAATTTATGCCATTTTTTTAAGAAAATGTTTTTACTAAAAACTTTTTAGTCAAGCATTTGATAATTTTAAGCACATACCAATTTTAGTAGTTTTTATGATTAATGATCCATATTTTATGTGTTCATTTATTTGAATTGTCTCCATATCACGTTTTCAGATTGGAAATTTCATATATCAATCAGTACCGGAAAAGTATGACTTGTTGTTTTAATTAGTTTTCATAAAGAACTTATTGGATTATGTAAATAATTACGAATGGGAATTTCTACATTCTAACAAATATAAATCATGCTCTCAAATCCCTGATTACTGATTAATTATGCATTAAAAAAATAATTGTCAAGCTGTGAGTATATAATTTTAGTAATGTCTTTCTTAAATTGTGGTTCATTCATTCCAAATATTTCAGTATGTAAGTATGTATTTATTATCGTTGCAATTTATTCACTATGGAACAGTCTTACATTTTTTTAACCAGTGTCGTTTTGTACGATTATCTCCAATAAATAGCGTAAAATCCCGTGAAATGCCTCATAAGTAGGCAAATTACTTTACCTCTTTGGGGGATATTAACACTGATTCAGCCAGTGAACATGGTTGAATATGAATACATTTTTTCAAACACTGGATCGACAACAACACTGACAAGATTTTAAAGAAATAACTTTTTGATTTGGCCACTGAACTACACGGAGAGCACAGAAGAACTAAATGAATGGTTTGACTATCTCCGGTTGGTCCACTAAAATATTGTTTTCAGCCAACGAACGCCGCGCGTTGACTGAGGCTAAGGCAGCAACGCATCATCCTTAAATAGCGGTTGGGTTGAGCCTCCGACAGCATCCGCTACGTGTTGGTGAAAAAGCTTCGGCACGCACATTGGCGGTCCACATGGCTTGTGTCCCGACTAAAGCTCTCAGTGTGGCTCGTGTGGCTGGAAGGTCTGAGCTGTCGAATGAATGGCTGAAATCGAGAGTTCCCAGGAAAAAAACACTTGTTGCTGGTTTTTTCTCTGTTTATTCTTTAGAAGCGGGGTTTTAGTTTTACTTTTCATGCAACGGGCTCTCATCTTGAGCCGGAACTGTGGAAAGATGCATTTGAATATCTTGAATTGTTTTCCATCTTTTTTCCAACATCATGGACGTTAAAAATAAATGTAACAGGTAAACTTAGCTTAAGAAGATGGCATTAGCACTAATCTATTGTACAATTTACTACATAGTGTAGTATTCTTTTTCAACTTTCCCCCAGTGTAGAAATGGTTTTGTTTAATAATCTTAGCCAATTCCTAATAGACCCATAGACCCAATTTAGTTTACAGCTAATGTCACGAATTAAAATTGGAAGAGCTTACAAATGGCGCGCAAACTTGCCGACTTCACTTGAATGGATGGCTGATTTCGAGACGGGAGAGACCGGCCAGATTGAGTTCGCCGTACTCCACGAATTCCGAAGCGATTGCCGCATTGGTTGGGCTGCTTGTTGCATCATTGTTGCAGTTCTGGTTCTGGATCTGGTACTGGTGGTGGTTGTGGTGATGGTTGTATATATACAGGTATACAATAGAGAGACAAGACATTAGTATAAACCATTTCAATAATTTAAAGAAGACAACAAACATTAAACCTAAGCCTTAATATTAGTTTAAATATGAAGTGAAAAGGGGGAAAAAAGGTTAAAAAACAGAGAAACAAAAATTTGTTTTCAGCACACAGCACACGTTAGCTCTTGGAGTTTGGTTATAGCTTCACGCTGTTTTTTTGCTTTTGTAAACAATAGTTTGTTAGGTCAGGCTTAATCGAGTAATTAATGGACCGGAGAGCGGTCATAGCTTGATCCAGCTACATTTCAATTTTGCAGCAGTAGTCCATGACCCGTTCCCGTAGGATTAATAATGGGGTTTCTGCAATATTTCAATCAGAAACTTTTTGGAGACCAACGATGAAAAGATGAAAATCGTTGTTCCTTTAATCCAATCCAATAACCCAATTCCAATGGTAGTGCCAGATCCTGAAGGAAAGAGTTTATCCAATCCAGCGAAATACGCTATGCACCGAACCTGAACCCCATCATCCATTTGGGAACAATAGTAAGCAAAGCTCGAGCAGATGCATTCTCAATCAATAGTTTCCATTTTGGTTCTCCTATGCTTGTGATCCAGTTCCTTATCGAGTTACATAGCCAGTTGATTTAGAACAGAAAATTCCGTGTCCACAGTGTACTTAGTCGAGTTTTGAATTATTGTTCTTGCAAAAAATGAGTGTTTGAGGTAGTTTCTATCGCTTCGTAGATAAATCGAAACTGAAGGGGCACTTGTTCAGGATAAGAATGTTTGAAAAGGAAATCAATACTTTCTTTCAGGGAAACGCGAGCACTAAAAATACCTAAAATATTTACAAATTGGTTACAAGCGGATAGGGAGGGGAATCGGCGTTCCTAAAACGAGTACCTGTCTCCGAGAAGTTCGGAAATGGTAGGTACAAAGGGTAAATGTGTGTTCTCTCAGATGTGTTTCTGTTTTCTAAACGGATTGCTTCAAATGGCTATGGCAGCTGCATTTTTACAATCGATTTGCGCACCGCTCGAGGCATAAGGCAAACTAAAGGTATCGAGCCATTCTTTGCATTTCTCAAAGCTATCAAAAGCCAATATATTGCAAACATATTCGACGCTAATGCTTGGACGATAGCTGGAAGAGAAATTGAATGCATTAGTAGCTGGTCATTAGAAAAGCACCATCACCTACGATTTAATGATTACACGCAGAGCAGCCTTGCGTTCTCTTTCCAAAAACCATTCAATCATGTGGCCCGACATGAGCGGCGCTGTCTTATATAGAGCAAACAATTTGCAATAGTTGCCCAACGACCACGCCGAACGGAACTGCAAGGCATGCGCAATGGCAGGATTCTCGCGTTGATCAGCTGATATCGAGCGCAGGACTGTCGTAATGTCTGCAGAGAATAAGAAGATATAGTTACAGTAAATCTGTGATTGAGATCAAAACGACGTACCCAAGGTATTCTTTGTAAATATGTAGTAAAGTATGCGATATGCCGTAAACTCCATGGAATTGGGGCTCTGGCCACCCAGCTCAATGTAGAGCATCTTCAGTTGCGTCTGGCACTGATTGAATTCCTCGTGGTCACCCTTCTCCATGGCAATACGCGCATGAGTCTCATACACCTCAACAGTGAACTGATCGCGAATACCTTGCACCTGGGAGAAAGAGGTGGTAAAATATGGTCGTAATTTCATCCGGTAAACGGCTGCTGCGTCACTTACAGTTAGATCTTGCCTTAAGGACTTCAACTGATCACACGCATAATGATAATCCTGGTTGGCACGCCACTTGCTCTTTACGTTGGACAGCGAATGGGTAAGGACTTCGACTGGCCGCACTTCCGAAGGGGATGGGGCCTTTGTTAGGCGCAAAAACGATTTCTCTAGATCCCTACAAGTTCCTACAATGTGCAAATCGAGCAAATCTAAACCGCTAGCCGGGTCCAAATCCTCGTAGAAGGCAGAACGATGATGCTGCTGCTGCATCATTTTCTTCCGGTTCTTGGCCGTAGTGAGACCAAAGGGCGAACTTGCAATGGCGACGACAGATTTCTTAGCCAAGCCGGAGCCCTGCTGCGAGAAACGTGCCGCACGCTGTTGCAAGCGCGCTGTGTCATCATCAACGGCCCCACCCACAGACGACTGTTTTGAATAGAAGTGCGGCTTTTTCTTGGAGTGGCCAGTATGCGATGCGGCGGATCCCGCTGCTGCAGCTAGTCTTTTGCTTTTCTTCATTAACATTTTCTGCTGCTTGCGAGAGAGGTTCGCGTTTAAGGATATAAAATCCATTGATTCGTTGGATCCCGATTTACGAGGAACTTTACGCGACGGCGGACTACCAGCATCGCTGGTGCGGGAACCCGAACGCGAACGTGAATGAGATCGCGAATAACGTTTCTTGTGAGTGTATTTCGATGAGGTCGATGACGACGGGGACCTGCAAGTGGATTTAATTAATGGACATTAGGGACTTTCAGTAGCACACAAACTAAACACTCAGACTTACCGCGAACGACTCCTGGAATAACGCGACGAAGACTGGTGATGGCCGTAATTGGATGCCATTTTATTGAATTGATTCCCCCTTTGCTTGAATTGATTAACATTCGGTGACTTGGCCGGCTTCTCCTGCTCCTGCTCCCGCTCCCGGTCTCTTTCCCGCTCCTGCTCCAACTCACGTTTCTTATTAAAGTAGTTGCTCCTTTCGGGCTGTGGAGGAGTTGCGTGGCTAAGTACCACCTCGATGCCGTCTCTCTCGCTGTGCACCGTTGGCATAGGCTCGTTGTCCCAGTCTCTGGTCCACAACTCATTTCGATTGGCCGCTGCCATGATCTTCCCCTTCAGACATATGTCTATCTGATCCTTATCCAGGTCCGTGTTGCATTTGGAGTAGCACCGTGCAACATACTGATTCAACGAGTCTGGCCAGGAGTCATTAGAGGCCATCTGGAAGCTGTTGGGACGCTTAAACGCTGCGGGAGCAGCTGGAGAGGAGCAGATCTTCGGCTCAGGTTGTGTGGGCTCAACAATGGCGGCCAGAGCCTGGGGCAGGGGCGGGGGTGGCTTGCTTAGATCTGGCGTGCTGGGCACCACCACATCGCTGATAGTGGGGGGCGGTGGTGCTATGGGCGTAGCTATATTGTTAAACGGATTATTGTATGTATTTTGATCGAAGCTCGCGTTTTTGTTCTTGTTGTTTCGCTTCCGCTTCTTCTTGTTAACAGTATTTATGTTACTATTGTTGTTGAAAAATTGGGTCGGCTGCTGTTGATGCTGCTGGATCTGTTGTTGCTGCTGAATAAGCTGCTGCTGCTGTTGTTGTTGTTGTTGCTGCTGCTGCTGTTGAAGGGGATTGGGTGCATTCGCCAAGCGTTTTTGATTTAAATTCAAGTTAAAACGTATCCCTCCAAAATTCTTTTGCTGCTGTTGCTGCTGCTGAGGCTGCAACTTGTTGGTGTTTATCGGTTGAGTGGATTTGGGTGGTGGTGGAGGAGGTCCCAGGGGCGGAGGTGGAGGCGCTGCCAAGGCGTTGCTAAATCCGGGTGGCGCGTTTGACGAGCTTATCGTTGAGGTTACCTGTTGCTGCTGCTGCTGGTACCGCATATAGTACTGATAGTACTGCTGGTACTGCTGTTGGTAGGCGGCTGCATTCTGGTTGGCATACCACGCGTAGTTTGTCCACTGCTGGGCTGCGGAGTTGGCCTGCTGCTGTTGCTGCTGCTGTTGCTGCATTTCCTGCAGCTGGGGTATCAAGGGCGGAGGAGCGCTCATGGCTTCGGACATAGTGCTCTCAGGGCAGAAACTCGGTTAAGCCTCTGGTCACCGCTGTGACGTGATGTAGATTTGATTGCTTTTACCTTAACTTACCTTGTTAATTCAACTGCGTGGCTTCTGCTTCTCCGTCGCCACCCGCCCTAAATTTCACAAGTAGTACAAAGGGAAATGTGCTCGTTAGTTCCTATGTCAATGCGTGTGTAAATACATATGTATGCATGTGGAGGCATGTGACGCCATTTTCTTTTTAATTTTTTTACTAGCTTACCTATTATGGCCTTAGAGAACGTTCGATTACCGCTTAGGCTTATGCAAATCGTAAGCGCGACTCTGATAACAACGAAGTATGATGGCGAGGCTCGGCTCGATTTTACATGCACTTTTTTTGTTTGCCTCAAAAGAAAGAATCGAATTTTTGTAAATTTTCAGCACAGAAATACATATACCACCAGTGTGACAGTCTGACAGTATAAAAATATACCGTCTGACCCTCAGAAACATACCGTAATATACCAGATATTTTATGAAATAATATATGTATCACATACCGATATACCATAAATCATAGCCCACTTAACCCCCCCATATTTAACCAGGTGAACAACTTGAGTTAAACCGCAGAAAACAGCATTGTTTGTAGATCCATTCAATCCATTTAATCATCCATTCATCCATTTATTTCTGAACGTTATACCTGTAGTACCGTTAGTTTGGAAGTGATGGACTAGTTATTTTTTCTAAAAAAAAATCTAAACAATATTGTAAAATTGAATCTAAGAAATTTACCATTTGTTCTTCAATCAATGGGGAAGAAAACTGTCAATAAAAAGAATTAAAAAAAAACCCTTCATTTAAAATCTATACTATAAATTTGTAGAAAAAAATCTGTGTGTAAGCGGCTATCTTCGCAAGGCGTGCACCAAATTGCATGCTGATTTTTTTAAATGATAGCCAGAGAATGTGACCTGGTTTGCACAAACAAATTTGTACTTTTCTATTTTCACATGGTGAACTGTATTATTATCATTTTTTAATTTCTATGAATTCCTAAACATTAAATTCATTTAGTAAGCAGCGAAGCGCGCGGGTCTGCTAGTTACTAATAAAAAAAAAAGAAGTAAAAATTATATAAATATGAATGGGACAGGAAAATTCTTAACGAAAGACGGTTGCAGCTAGTTATTAAATGAGCAACTAAAAAACATCCTCAAAGCGGTTAAAGAACGCCTAAATAATTATAATTTTAAAATTTTAATGTTTTATTAGCATTTCTGGCATATAAATGTGTACATATGTATGTTTATGTATATAGTATGTGCCTCGTAATATTGACTATTATAATTTCTACCTTTTAACAGTTAAAAGTCCAGGAAGCACCGATCTTATGATCCCCACTAATCGGGGCTTTGTACTCGCAGCCCACATGATACATCACATCAATATTTTCGCCGATTTTTGTCTGAAAAACCACACCCACGTTCCCATCGTCTCGAACTTTGGCTTTCAACAGCGATCCATCCTCAAGCTGGTATTGACATCCAATGGCAAACTTCTTTAGCTGCTCCTCGCCATAAAAGTTCATTTTCAGAGCCACGGCCCAGCTCTCGCCAATGCGCTGAAAAATGGAGCCCCGCAGATCTTTAAAGTTCTCCCTATGAGTGTAGGAAGACAAATCAGTCACTAGAATATAACCTAAATACTTACAGAACTTACAGCTTGAGACCCACTTCAGAGGACTCGTTTTTATATCCCACGCAGAAGGCGTGCTTGTCGAATGCCTTCTCCGAGAGGCTGTAGACCATGCGGTAGCCTAGCAGCCAGTTCTCAGCAGGCGCCACAAGGATGTATCCCATAAACGTGGGCTCCTTCACAATTGGCAACACTGCCTCGATCTTGAAAGGACTGCGCTCAAAGCCAGCGTTCAGCTTGCCCTTGAGCTGGTATCTAAAGGAAAAACAATTAAGTGCGACGACATGGACAGTCAATTTTTCATCGCAGACTCACTCGTCCGTCATGGGAAGTGTTGACCTCAGAATGGAATGGGCTATTCCGCCAGCCACCTCACCTCGTACTCCGAGCTCCCCTTGCCACTCGTTGCTGCTTATCCAGGTGAGGGACGTGTGACAATTTTCGAACTGCTTGAAAGCGTCGAGCCCTCCTAACACTGAAGTCAAGTCAGGATTTCCCTCTCCGAAACTGCTCAAGGCCATGTCATTCTCGGTCTTTGAGGAGCACCGTAATTGCCAAACACCAGACTTGTATCCCCTGATGAGACAATCCTTCGCCCAACCACCCACGTGGAAATATGAGGGCATCATGCCATCTTGCGCCTGCGGCAACAGTATCTCAATGTCATCCTTGACTTTTGGCTTATCCTGAGCTTTGGGTTCGGTTCCGGCCTGTGGCTGTTGCTCGGTTTCATCTTCCTCCTTTTCGGCCTCTCTTTTGCGCCGGAATATGCTACTGATTCTTTTTTTACTCATATTATGCAACACCAAAAATGGATAAATAAATGAAACTAAAATTTTAACTTTTTAACGTTTGCTTTGAACGTTGAAATGCTTTTAAGGAAAGCTGAAGCTCCGTTCAAAACTACTCCGTTTCGGAGTATCGGAATGTAAAATGCTCGCAAACTGTTAAATTATTATATTTTAATCCAATGTATAACCTTTCTCCCACTTCAACCACTTCTAGCACTCCAAGGCCAAGCCCACGCCAAACTTGTGGCTGCCATCGCTGATATTTCGGCCGTCCAGTACTGCCGAGATGGAGGCAGTGACGCCGTCCCGCACCTTCTGTTCATAGCCCAGACCCAGCTCTGCCTTGCTGTTGATCTTGGCACGGATGAGGGCATCGCCCTCAAGACGGTATATCATGCCCACCCCGACGGTCACCTCGCTGCCGCCCCCCTGCTCTGGTTCTCCTTCTGGGGAATTCTCTCCGCCACCGCCGCCGCCTGTTTTGGTTAGCTCTACCGCGGCATCGATCTGGTCATTAAGCTTGTAGAAGAGCGAGGCTAACCAGGACTCCCCATCCTTTCTGCAAAGATCAAGGTCGGAGATTCATGTATCAGCGGTCTAGTGCTGGACAGCACTGAGAGATCCGATTACACTTACAGCTCAACATGGAGTGTGGCCTTATCATTGGCCCAGCCCAAGGCAACTTTCCAGCTGCTGAGGGACGTGTTTCCCACATCAAATGCGCAGCCAACACCGCCTAGGAACTCATTGTGACCCAAGACCAGGGAGCAGTTCATGATCGGACTCGAGCTGATACCCATGTCAGACAGGAAGTTGAATTTGTCCTGGGCATAGCCCAGTCGGAATTTGCCGTCCTTGGAACTGGGGAGCCAATGAATTAGAGAGACAAATAGCAAATTTAAGAAAGTCAATTTACTCAGAACTCGGCTGGAACTTGCCCTCCAAGGCCAGCATCAGGCCCTGTGCCAGCTTATCCTTTTGCGCGATCTCGCCAAAGATCCAACTATCGGTATTCCATCGTTCCGTCAGCGTCAGACCATAGTCTTCGATCTTGTACTTGCTCTGCAGGGAGCCGACCACCTTGCTGTGATCCTGGCTTGCGAAGCCCGAGGTGAAGAACTCAATGGCTGGGCTGCTCATGGTCTTGCAGTCCAGCTGCCAGACACCCGGATGGTAGCCGCGCTTGAACAGATCTCGTGCTAACTTTCCCAAGTCAGGATATGATGGGGGTGCCATTTTAAGCCAAATGGATAGCTATGGATGGGGTTTAACGGGGTAAAAGTTCGAATTTTTACAAAACTGTTATTCTATTAATTATTGAAAAATTTTTGAAAGTGTGCCAGATTAGGATGTTGTTTCATATTTGAGGGTTGTATGATTACGAAGTGCAATTCATGGCATTTTATGATTAAATCGAAGTTTACATAGTCGTAATGTTTTCTGTCGCGGCACACGAGCGCACGACATCAGGATACCCGGTACTTAGTTTCTATATAATTGTGATCTAGGCAAACGCTTCCTTCCGACTGTTGGTTACATTTACATACACTGTTAGAGCAAAACCCTAATAGTTAAATACACTGCTACACTGATATTTGGCAAGGAGTTCGCGAAACCAGAACGAGTAAAAACAAATGAATTTTAAACTAACGCGTATTACCAATTTAATTTTCATTTATTTGCAGAGGTACTTATCCCTTACCATTCATAACCTTCACACACCTCAAATCCGTATAATATTATTTCTTTTCGCTTTATTTTTTCTGGTAAATGCACAACAAAAATGTAGATTGTTTAATGATTGTGTTGGGTGGTGTTTTGTTCCGCCTCTGATGGATAGGAGCAGGGATCCAATAATAGCAGCCCTCTCCACCGCAAATAATTCCAGCTACGAGCAAGTGTTTGTTTTAACTTTAGTTTTGTTTAATATGTAGATGTATTTTTCTCTGTACTTTGCCAACAACACATACGCTAGTTTTCATGGTACATTCTAAACAAAACTACATCCAACGACGATTGACTGACACCGACCCGCTATTCGTTTTGTTGGTTGGCAGTGTCACTTCTGCAGATTCTAGTGGAGCACAGATTGTTGGAAATGGAGGCGGTTGCGCAGGCGGTGAAATTCTGACAACTGATCCAAAATAATTGCTAAATGTGAAGATTCTTTTATCTTTGACTGTGTTTTTTGTAGAACATCGTTTACAATTTTATTTGCTTATTTGTTTGTCAGCTTAGTGTTGTTTCTGCACTTTTACTTTTGTTTGTTTCTGTTGTTGTTGGGAGAGTGGGGATGTTAGATAACTATATTCCTCGATTGGGAAAATCGTCGACCTAAGCCTCCAATTCCAGACCAACGCCAATCTTGTGGCCGCCGTCGTTGAAGTTCTTGCCATCGACCAATGTGGACAAGGTCAAGGTGACGCCATCGCGCAACTTCTGCTGATAGCCCAAGCCAACCTGGCTAGCATTGTTCACCTTGGCGCGGACGCTGGCATCATCGCCCAATTGATATTTGGCTCCGATGGCGAACTTGGTGTTGCTGCTGCCACTGGCCCACGACAATTGCACACCCACATCCAGCTTGTCCGAAGTGCGTTGGAAGATGGAGCCGCTGAACTCCTGGCCATCGTTCCTGAAAGCAGAAACCAAATAGGTCGATTAAAGATCCAGTAGTGCGACAGTAAGTTCGACAGTTTACTTACACAGCTGTGTGCAAGACAAAGTCCTTGGTGGTGTAACCAAGAGCAAAGTTGTTGGTGGTCAACTTGGTCTGTTGCGTATCAAATGCGGCCTGGTAACCGGCCAACCATCCGTTGTAGCCCAGCACTGCAGAGGCGTTGATCAAGGGACCCTTCAGATCAATGTTGACATCCGAATCGGCCTTTACGTATTCATGGCCGAAGGCAACCTTGAACTTGCCGTTTTTGTTTCTATTTGGAAAGAGAGTGTCAATAATCCGCTTGCTGGTGATCTAGAAAACGTGCGTCGCATACCCTGACTGGGGAGCAAAGTTTCCCTCCAGCGAGAGCTTCAGACCCTCGAGCAGCTGGTCCTGGACAGCCACCTCGGTGAACAAGGTGTTGTCTGTGTTCCACTTCTCCGTGAGAGTGAGGCCATAGTCCTTCACCTTGTACTTGGTCTCCAGGGAGCCAAAGACCTTGCCCGACTCCTGATTGGAGTGGCCAGCTGTGTTAAATTCAATTCCCGAAGGGGTCTTGGTCTTCAGGTCCAATTTCCACAGGCCAAAGTTGTAGCCTTTGCTGAAGATGTCGCGAGCCTGCTTGCCCAAATCGCTGTATGATGGAGGAGCCATCTGAATGTTTACAACAAGAATTGTAATTAGCTTGTGAAAAATCGATAAGCGATTGCGCCATTTATTGCAAAGTATTTCATTTTCCCCCTCAATTATTGCTAAAATAGGTAGATAAGCTATCATGTTAGTGGACAGGGGAGTTTCTAATCTTATCTTATTTGTGGAATAAAATCCTGCTTTAACCTGCTGCGATTGGAAACTGAAAAGCTGAATTGGGATTGCCAAGATGCAGCGCACAGACAAGTGAAAAAATTGGAAGACATTTCCTCAGTGTACTTGGCTAAATTTAAATTTTGTGCTGGAAAAATAAACGTTTTTAAGGCATGCTTTCAAAGGCATGGCTACCATGTGCTGCGGCATGTGCTGATGTATGAGTGGAGAGGTCAACGCACGTATGCTGCAGAGTGGAGATCGTCTGATCGCTGTGACGCACACAGTGACATAACTACGCGAAGTGATTTGTGGAAATTTCACCACAAAAACCTGATCTAGTTATTAGAATTACTACATTTCATGTCCCATGCCTCGAGAAGCTTCAATTGTTTCTTCACATAACACATGAAAGCGACGGTTAATACCCATTGAGGAGATATGTGAGTAGTAACTGTAACTACAGTTAGACTCCCATATGCGATCTGTAGATGATTCTACACTACCCCATTACCCCTGCTTTTTTGGCACAAATTGCTGGTCAGCCAGCAGAGCAGCGCTGCAGCAGCCGAGCGATCATTGACACAGAAGCTAACTGCACAATTGCAACCTCTGCTTTGGTCTCTCCTTCGTTTATATTTCCGTGTGACGTCGAATGTGAAAAATGCAAACAGTTCACAGTCATGGTGCGAATATTGGGCACGGCTTTGGGAGAGCGGACCGGACCGGACCTGCTGCTGGGCGAGCAATCAAGAACGTGAATTATGAAAAGCACAGCGACGGTGAGTTTTTATGGCCTACAGCCAAACGGGATATGACCAGCAGCAAGAGAGAAGACGCGCCCCTCCCGAGAGTAGGACAGATAATGGAATAATCTATATATTCAGTTGCCGTGTGATGTAACAAGGTAAAAGTCCCAGAGAAAGAGCTCCCGGGCCAGGGCATCTTAAATGTGGCCTTGACTCAGGGGTTTGACCATCGAATAGTAAATTTATGAGGGGGTTGAGTGGTGAGCAGGCGTTTACATATGTATCTTCATTGCATAACCAGAAAACAATCAATTTTTTTACAATTACAAAGAACTGTGCTCGAAAAGGTGTCACGGAAAACTATTGATTTTTAGTGACGTCACATTTAGACCAGAACCTGGACTAAAATTGCCGCATCACACGCCCACGCCCCCTCCACCTCACATGACCGCTTGCACACACACAAGCAAATGGAAAAAACGATAAGGGAAAAACAAGAATATAAAAAGTACTGTGTATGTTGATAAAAACGAGCGAAGAGCGATGTAACATTGTGATAGGGAACAAAATGTATCAAAACAATCTAAATGAGAGCACTGCACTCATTGGTGGCGAACATGTTATGTAACTACATTTGCTTTGCCCAGCACCTCTATTTGCCGGCTGCTGCCAATGAACTCTTTATGCGTCGAAGCCCGTGTATGTTGGAGTGTGTGGGCCGGCGGGCCAATTCCCGGGCCCAAATTTGTATCAGCTAGGCATACTTCGATGCATTTGTTATTAGCTTAGCTGATAAATACTTTTTTTACCATCGAGGTTGCCGTACAAATACAAATGCAACCCTTTGCGGCTAATGCGCGTGTGTACTTGAAATTTTTTTCGCTTCGAGGTTATGAAATCACTTCCACTGGCTATCTGCACTTTGCTGTTTGACGAGTTTTTATAACGGTTGCCAATGTTCATTATAGCGTCTTAAGCAAGTTTTACTTACTTTGGATGAGTTTTACTTTAATTTAAGTGCGAAACGCAGAGGAACAGAAACACGAGACTCAACGACGACCACAAAATTGTCAAACCATCGAGGGCACTATCGATAGTATCGATATTTGACGGCTAGCCTCTACTATCGATGGTTTTGCGACTATCATGATAGTATCGAGCTACAGTCGTTGCCCTTTTGATATGTTTGGATTGGCTGCTATAAAATACGAAGACACATTTGTAAACAAATCGACAGGTGGCATCTAATTTTTACAATGGACAAGTTCCTAAAAGGTTTCAATGGTTTTTTAATAATTATTTGAGCCCGATACTATTACAATAGTATCGATTGTTTTTTTCAAGCCATTCAAAGTTGATATTCCTCGATTTTGATATTCAGTTTAATATTACTAGATAGTTGGCCCTCTCAGTCCTAAACATATAATTTTATGCAATTCCTCAATAAATTTTGTACAAGATTGGCTAGTTTTCAAAACTCGTTTTCATTAGATTGTTTACATAATAAGGTTCAAACAAAAAACGGCCAAAGCATAAAACGTAAATGTTGACTAAGTGTGACGTCATTGTTGCTGGTCAACCAAATTTTTGCTATGAGTATGGACATTCGTACACCCTATTATGCGCTCTAACTAATATTAAATTTGTTTTCCTTCTTTGCTTCTTTTCCTGTATTTACTATTTAAATTTGTACATAATTAACATACATTTTTGGCAATTTTACTTAATTTAAGTACTAATTTTCATCAATTATTAGGTGCTACCATTGCACGTAAATATTAAATTAAGCGCGACTTCATCAATCAATGTCTATGACAAGAACATAATATATGGAACAGGTCTAAATTAAACGCTGTCGTATACCACGTGTAACCCTAGGGGAGATGTATAGCTGATCGGACACATTCCGTCATGGCAGGGCGATGGGGAATGCCATTTCATTAGTTCGCACATGCGAATGCGGATCGTAGGCATTGGTGGCACTCGTCCATAAGCTGGATGGTGGACGCGACAATGATAGGGATCTGCTTTTATCTGATACGGTGCCCCAGATATCCGGCTTTCGGTGGTTCCAGCGGCATAATTTGTTTATAAAGCGTTAAGCCTAGTACCAGAGGTGTGCACTTCATTCCGAACGGTTACACTGCTCAGACCGCTGATTGGTTTTGTTTAAAGTTAACAAAATGCATTTCTTCGGCTGGGATCGCTCTTCCCCAGGCATATCCTGGGCTCCCCAATATTTTATTGGCAAGGTAATGTGTCTGACTATCAGCAGCAGCAGATGGCGACGCCACCTGTGCCGACCACCTCACGGTGGTTTTGGTTTCACTGTTTTGAAAACAATATTTGTTTTATATTTATGAAAATTAATAAAAATAATATATATCATAATATCCATATATCCATTGTCATTTATATAATACTGCATTAATTAGATTCTATTTGTCTTCATTATTCAAATATTTCATTTGGTTTTTTGTTCTCATATTGCAATGTTTGCTTCGTGTTTGCTGGCAAAATATATCAAATTGATATCTTTTTCGAGGTGGGTCGAAATATACAAAAAAAACAAGCAAATACTTCTGATACTTTTCCAGTATATACCGACCTTTTTGTTTTTTGATCTGAGTACTGCCTTCCGTACAGAGCCTAGAAAACAGTTTTTGCCATAAAACATTTCTTATCGGTTTCATACGAATATCAACCCTGATTCTGTTCGCTAGGTGTTTTTTTCGATCTGAGTACTAAGCTATAGGTTTAAGCCTAGTACTCAGACCCAAAAACTGTTTGCTAGCAAACAAATGTCATATGTATATTCTTATAGCGGCAAGTGGTGTGAACTGCATTCCGTACGGTTACACTGCTCAGACAGCTGCTTGGTTTTGTTTAAAGTTAATCAAATGCACTTCTTCGGGTGGGGTCGCTCTTCCCCAGGCATATCCTGGACTCAATATTTTATTCGCAAGGAAATTTGTCTGACTATCAGCAGTAGCAGATGGCGATGCTTCCCGTGACGACCACCGTGAAGACAAAATTGTTTGACAACAATATGAAAATTTATGAAAATTAATAAAAATAATATATTATAATATCCATATTTCATTCCCATTTCATATAATGCGGCATCAATTAGATTCTATTTGTCTTTATTATTTAAATATTTCATTGGGTTTTTTGTTCTCGTTTTGCAATGAAAATAAAGCTAATGTATGCTACTTTGAAAATCAAAATAAAAAGTTTGGTTAATATTAACCCTAAAGTTTTTTATATTTGAATCAGTTACACCGAACTTACGAAGCAATTACAACAAAATTATGTTTTCGGTCGCGAAAGTACGATTAGAACATAGGTAAGAAGTAAAATAAAAATGAACCGTTAATATAACCTTTTTTCGTTCTTTTTGCATTTTTCTCTTCTTAATAGATTGCAATAAAGAGATTTGGCAGAAAGACTGCAAACCTAACATATGTTTTGCATGTGAAATAAGTAAACATAAAATACAGTGATTATGAACATTTATTTTTTTCGGTCCTGGTTGAACATTCGGCGGAAACGCCCTTTCTACTTTATGGCATTGGAAATGCTTTCGTCGGTTATGCTGTTACAGACATCCACATCCACCAAAAACTAATATACAGTGGAATCTACAAAAATTAGAACCACTTTATCCTCGGGATTTTCTAATATCTAAAAAGTACTAGGAAAAATGTTGTTTCACAGAAAATGATAAAATTACATTATAAATAGTTAGTTATAACAGTATGCTTTATTTTAGCAAAAAAAAATTTTGTTTATTAACGTTTAATTAATTTAACACACTAAATTCATTGAACAACTTTATAATAATTTTTGAATTTAATTTAAATTTTCACTTTGACCATCAGTCATTAACTGAAATAACACTACTCGACAAAATTGAACTTTTTATTTAGGCTGTGAACCAAAATGACTTTTTCTGATAGATTTCGGGATTTAAAATTTTTTGTTGTGTTTTATTATTTTTTTATGGTGTCATTATTTTTTTAAGAATTTTTAAAATCTGGTATTTTTTTCCATGGTTTGTTTCAGAGGTAGTGCTTCTATTTTTCACATAACTTAAGTACCTTATATCTGGTTGCATAGAACTTTAGAACTTAGTTTTGAAAAGCTGACAAGTGCAGCTATAAATCCAAGACATTTTGTATCTGCAGCTTAACGTCTAGAAGATATAAAGCTTTTAAATTTCATAATTTTTTCACGTTATTTTTCACAAAATGATGAAATTTGAATTTGAAAGCTTTAAAAACTCGGCAAAAGTAGAAAAAAAATAATTCTTGGCTTGTATTTTTAGTTTTAGATAGACGCATAGACTAAAAGGCCAAGCTTTGTGGTTAATAATAAAATTAGTTATAATTTGTGAGATGCCATTGTATCCCAATGTGTAAATAACTTTCTTACAGAAAAATGTATACAATATGTACGACTTGAACACTAGAAGAATATAAAACTCAACAAAGTAATAAAAGGGAAACAATAAAATGCTGGATATAAAAAATTTATATTAGTGAATTGTGCTTGGGAATGGCTATGTTGGTTGCCTGATTTTTGCATCCTCCTCCTCCAGCGATGCCTTGTGGTGGAATTAACTCATATCATTCGCTGTGAACGGCGCAAGATTCCAGATCAGCAGGGCTCTATCTTAACGTTTTTTCAAATGGCATTAACATCAATCAGGCCATTTAATCACCAATTTACGATAACTATGCGAATTCTGGCAAAGCCTATAATTGATTCTGCGGAGAGTATTCTATTTTTAGACATCTGTCTTCCAAGTACTAGTACTTAATTGAGTTGCATTTATCGATCGTGACGGAACAATGCTCATTCGAGTGCAGTGAACAAATGTTGAAGGCGGGCCTGGAGTACGACTCAGTCTTTGGCCGCTGCCTGGCTGCCACGGAGCCAGTCCAACGCGGTGATTTACTTGTGGAGGAGCTGCCCATCGCCTTCGGCCCAAAGAGGGACAGTGGAATCGTGTGCCTGGGGTGCCACCAGTATCTTCAGTTCGGTGAGGATGGGGACTCTATGGACCGTTGTGAGCTTTGCGACTGGCCGCTGTGTGGCGTCTGTGCTGGCGGCCATGATGATGACGGCATCCATCATAGGAGTGAGTGCGTGATATTCTCTGCTGCACGTGTCACATTCGCCGGCAATGTGAGCGAGGATGGCATCTGTACGCAACTAGATTGCATAACACCTTTGAGGTTAGTTTTTGGGTGCTATTTTAGGTGCTATTATTTTTGGCACCGCAAAGCAATACGTCTAAATTAAACGTGAGTCCGCGAAAAGCGAAACCACAGCAGCCACGGGCACTAGCGACGTCAAAGAAGGCAGCACAGTCTGTTGTCGTAGAGTAGATCAGAAGGCAACGATTCAGTGCACGCCACAGTGTTCCAAGTCCAATGTAAAAGGAAACATACTTGGAATCTGAAATTTAAGGCGCACCTTTACTCACATGTGTACATATGTATGCATACATACATGTATGTATGAATTGTATTCTGCTTCAATCTACCAATAACTGGCCGAATTTTTCGAATCAGTTCGATTTTATGGAAGACCTCCACTCCTCTTGCACGTTTGTACCACTGTTCCCGTGAAACGTTAATGTTTCTGCTTTGGCAGGGTAAGACATTTCGCGTTCTTAATAGCAGATGGAATAGTCAGTCAGAGGAATGACATCACCGATATCGCGCCCAGTAAATCGCACATCAGTGCAGTGGAGTGCGGTATGTGGGCGCTACCTGGTTGCCCAAGAGGCGACGGTAGCCCGCAGTCTTCTCATAGAGGAACTACCCTTTGCCATAGGCCCCAAGTGCAATGGACCGGTGGTCTGCCTCGGTTGCTGTCGCCCCGCAGCCGATGTGGAGGAACACTGCGTCCTATGCGGCTGGCCGCTGTGCGAGGAGTGCTCGGTGAAAGAGGGAAACCCACATGTCCAGCTGGAGTGTCCCGAATTCCAAGAGTCGAGAGCACTCTTCTACAGACTTCCCTCGGGGAGTACCTACTGCCCACAACTGGACTGTATTATGCCGCTCAGGTGAAACTTGGCGAGCGAACAAAAGTAGACTCCAGATCATTCCCATAATTCCTTCTTCTCCGTCGTGTCAATTGCAGAGTGTTGCTGGCGAAGGAGGCCAATCCCAAACGCTGGGAGAACGAGGTGGCGCCCATGGAGCACCACGAGTCGGAACGTCGCCATAACGATGATGTTTGGCATGCTGACCTCGTGAATATAGCTCAGTATCTGCGTGGCCCCTGTAAGCTGGCCTCGCGTTTCAGCGAGGAACTGATCATGCAGGTGGTCGGTATGCTGGAGGTGAACGCGTTTGAGGCCAGAACCGCGCGGGGATATCCCCTGAGATGCCTTTATCCATACACCGGCATTTTGGCTCACAGCTGTGTGCCCAACACCGCCAGGAGCATCTATCCCAGCGAGGGTTACAAGTGAGCATGACAAACCCAAAAAAACACTGCCAAAATCTTTTTGACTGTGCACGGCTAATAGGATCCGCTTGCGTGCCATGGTAGACCTGGAGGATGGACAACCGTTGCATCATAGTTATACCTACACTCTGGACGGCACTGCCCAGAGACAGACGCACCTTCGAGAGGGAAAATTCTTTACCTGCAACTGCGAGCGCTGCCTGGACCCGACAGAATTACAGACGCACTTCTCCAGCCTCAAGTGTGGCCAGTGCGCGGAAGGCTTCCTAGTGCCCAAGCAGCCCACAGGTGAGCTTTTAACCGACGAACCCGCTTTTTAGAGGTGTGGGGTTCCCACTCATTTCCCCTACTCGATTAACATCACAGAGATCAACACCAGTTGGAACTGCTGTAATTGCGACGCGATTACCAGAAACGAGGATGTGCAGGCAATCATCCAGTTGGTCCAGTCAGAAGTCAATGGTGTACAAGCACTTGAAATGGGTCCGCATCGGCTGGAGGAGGCTGAACGACTCCTGCGAAAATACAAATCTATGCTCCATCCACTTCATTTCATTGCCACTGTGTTGAGGCAGCTGCTCATCGAAATGTACGGCCGGGTGCAGAGCTATGAGATGGTTCAGTTGACCGACGATTTGCTGGAACGCAAAGCGGAGCTTTGTCGTCAGGTGCTCAGCGTGCTTAATAAATTTGAGCCAGGTCTGAGTCGCTCTCGGGCCATGAATCTGTATGAGCTGCATGTACCGCTTGTCCTGCTGGCGAAAAATGGGTTTATAGCCGGCAAACTGAATGGCGGCGAGCTGAGATCCAGTCTCGTATACGCTATAGACCTGCTCAAGGAGTGCGTGGAAATTTTACAGTACGAGGACAAGTGCTCACAAGAGGGAGTCCTTTGCGAAGTGGCCAAACAGGCCTTGAGGCAGCTCACACTGAGTGTCGAGGGATTGGGCAGTGAACTCGACTGATGATTGCTTATTAGTATCGGTAGATTTATTGGAAAATGCTCACGAGGAAAATCTCAATTGGGTTTCGTGTTACAACTAAAACACTTGAGAGTTTCAGGCCTTGCATCCAGTAAAGTGATGATGATGAAAGAAATCGAAATGGAGGGAAAATAAACTTGAATAAAAACAAAAGTTGTTGCCTTACATTTATGTAAACTAATCCTTAAAGTAGATTACATTTAATACGAACTATTACTGCACATTTTGCCGCCCAAGCTATACTCGTACACACATATGTATAATGTATAAATGGTTTTTTTGTTTGGTTTTTGGTATATGCACTACTTTTCGGTTTTCGGTTTTATATTAAATGCTCTGTTTAAGATGCCATACCCATACCCCTGCTTCCAGCTTCCAAGCTCCTGTCTTCCCGTATAATTTGTAAAAACAAGTAAAGCAGACGATCGCTTTATCATAGTTTATACAAAAGTGATTTTCTCAGGGCTCAGAAAACAAAAATAAGATCGGCAAGGGTTTCAGGGACTGTGTAGACTTCGGTTTGCCGAAGATTCCATTGATTCTCATCCACATTGGTGTATATCTACGCAGATCTAAGCAATTGCAAAAAGTAATGTATAAAATATCCGCACCTGTCTTGAGTATGCTGCTGCTCCCTCCCTGTCTCAGCTCTCCTGCTTCATCTACATATATTTATAATTTCAATTGATAATAAAATAGAGCATAAATTAAGTCCGGAATCTGCGAATAATACATATCCCGTAACTGGAATCGGTTTGGTTTGACTTCCTGTAGGTTAACGTTCAAGGTGCTGGACTACTTAAAAAAATCACACGAAAATTAAAAACTTAAACACTCTGAGGCTACGCACGCACAAAAAGCACACAATTCATGCATAAACAAAAGGAGGGACTTCAATACGGAAGGCTATAATAGGGTGTGCATATGCGTATCACACACGACCACACACACGGCCTAGACATCGTGGCTAAGCAGGGGCGTGTCGTGGTAGCGGGAGGCGTGGTTCAAGCTGGTGCACGGCAGCAGCCACAGTGCGGGGTGACCACGTCCAAACACATCGGCCAGCAGCTGATATTTGCGTCGGTTTGGTCGATAGGTGCCCTTCTGCTGTATCGCCTCGACAGCCGTCTCATCGTACAGTATGGCATGCAGTTGATCGACCATAATTGCGGTAACAAAGAGCCCGAACAAAGCCGACACCAGCATCAAGATGACAGAGTGAATCCTGCAAAGGAAGGTACAAACTACAGTTCTGAAACGCACAGTTTGCAGCAAAAAAAAAACTAATTTGTATGCAGGCCAGAACTGGACACACCACAAAGGAGGGTTTTGTTTTGTTTTCCCGTGATTCAACTTACATTCTCAACTGTGACTCAATCACATTCTGGTTGCATTCCTCGCAGGGCGACACCCAAGAGGCAACAATGAGGCCCAAGGAGTAAAGCGATAAAATGGCCACGTAAATGAGAAACTGTAGGAAATACTTTTGATTGCGTTCGCCGACGCAATTATTAATCCAGGGGCAGTGGTGATCCATGCGGCGGATGCATCGTTTACAGATTCGGCAATGGTGGGCCCGCGGCGGTCGATAGGTCTCACAGCGAGTGCAGACTGTCCATTCGCTGCTGTGTCCGTTGCCTGCTGGATTGTTCTTGCTCGTGGTGTGCAGATCCGAGAAGTCCAAGCGGTTGGCGGGCAGGGGTACGATGCCTGGGTCTGAGAAGACGGCCTTGGTGTGGGACATGCCCAATAGGAAGACGACCGTGTTGAAGAGCACAACATGGAACGAGGTCCAAATGCTACAGGGCCGAGAGTGGAAATATGTCATTATAGTTTCAATTCCGTCAATTACTGCCATGGGCAGCCATGGCTCACCTTCCGGGCATAGTGGTGAGGATAATCCAACGAATGACCACATAGTCAGCATAAAGTACAGCGCCGTAAGTCATCACCAGACAGGCAATGCCACAGGGATCGCGTATAAAAACCATCGAACAGCGAGCCTCAACGTCAATCCGCTCGCTGGTGTATCGGTTTTCCCCTTTAATTTAATTAAAAACCGACTGCGGCTGACTTTGTGTCCCCCCACACCACAGGCCAGACGGAAAATAACAATTGTTGCTACACTTCAGGGTTTCTGTCTCGACCCGTACTTATGAGTACTGGCGTGGGCAGCTTCCGGGCTACTTGAGCGGATCTCCAGTTGTTTGCAATCCTTAACGTAGTCGGTTCGATGCAATTCAGGAATCGAAATTTTCTCTTGCTTGAATTGTCATTTATTAATTTAGTGTGACCGTCGGAGGGAAGCAAAACAAAAACACAATTTGAAAATGGAAAAAATACTTCTACAGTGAAAAATACCAAATGAAGACTGATTTACATATGTATGTACATATATACATACTGTATGGTAAGTGAATCAGTCCAGATGTCTGATTCAAATAAACAGCATATTTGCGACATAGAAATGAAGAAATTATTTTATAATAATAATAAACAAGTATGTTATTTCGCAAAATGCATTCTAATTTTTAGCCATGTTTTCCTTGCCGCGCTCGTTCAGCTGCAGTTGTGCATCCCTCTCGGCCATGCCCTCTTTAACCCAAGGATGGGTCATCACATCCACTAATGAGATCCGGCCCTTACTCTCCTTTCGTAGCAGCTACAAGAAGAAAGAAAAAAAGTTAGCTGTCGTTCTCGGTCTAAAAATTGTTCACGTCTTACTCCAGCGATCAGTTCCTTGCTGCCTTTGGATAAGTGCGGGGGGTATTGGATCTCGACCCGCCTGATCTTGCTGTAAGTGTTCTCCGTGTTGCTCGACTCGAAGGGCGGGGCGCCCACCAAGAACTCATAGCACAGAATCCCCAAGCACCATTGATCGATAGTATCATCGTAGCTATTTCCATCCACCATTTCTGGCGGCAGGTAGTCCAGGGTTCCACAAAGGGTTCTGCGCTTGTTGTTGGGCGTGTGGGCAGACCAGCCAAAGTCGGCCAGCTTTAGATCGTCTGTGCCCGTCAATAAAATGTTCTCAGGCTTCAAGTCTCTGTGAATGACGTTGTTCAGATGACAATAGTTGAGGGCATTAGCCACCTGGTAGGTGTATTTGGCAGACCGCGGCTCATCGAACCGATTATTGGGAGCTGAACGGAGATGCTTGAACAGTTCTCCCTCCGAGGCGATCTCCAGGGCCAGGTAGATACGGTTCTCGTCGTGAAACCATGTCAAAAGTCGCAAGATATGGGGATGCTTGAGTCGCGACTGGATCTCTATCTCACGCAGCACCTGGCGCTGAACATTTCCCTTGCGTAGCTCCTCCTTGAACATCACTTTCATCGCCACCAAATAATGCGAGTAGCGCTCTCGGGCCAAATAGACGCGACCGAATTTTCCTCTCCCCAAGTGAGCACCCATTTCGAAGTCGCGAGAGCTCCATTCGTAGCTGCGGATGACCAAGAACCAAGATTAGACGCCAGCGTCGCATTATTAAACCCATACTCACGGCTGTCCATAGGCATCATGGGACATCATTTTAAGGCACATATTTTTAATTCGCTCATGGTGATCCTCCGGCACATTGCTCATTAATGCCGGCAAGTGATTGCGGTTGGCGTGCTTAGTACGTAGGAGTGCCATGGCCCTTATACGGATGTATTGCTTTTGTTTGTTCTTTTAACTTTAGTTTGTTGGTTTAACTGGTTAGATTGCAATTTTTTCCTTCGGCTGTGGCGTCTTTTTCTTTTTCTGCGCGTTTTTTTTTTGAATGCTCAAATTAATGTGGCTGCTTTTGGAAAATCCCAAATGTTGACAACAGCCTAGAATATAGATTTTTAATGAAAATATATATATGCTATATGTCGTAATAGAAAGATTAGTAGCAGACGAGTAATATTTCTTACACTAGTCACCGCTCTCTAAATCACACAGACCTAGATATTGCCAATTCAGATGTTTTAAAAAATTTTTAATTTATTTTTTCCAGTATTTTAAAGACGCGTCTGTAGACTCACCCTCTTGTCCAATGCAGCAATGTAGAAATCATGTAGAAAAGAAATGTCATTTAGAGCCATTTATTAACACTCAAAAAAACTGGATCGTTCATGAATCGTCGTTCACGACCCATTATTAGTCACTTTTTTTACTCACAACACACAAAAAATAAGTAAATTAAGCGAAATAAGAGCGTCTATTCGTACATTTAAGCTTAATAAGAATACTTTGTGTAGATCCAGATCAACTGAAAATAAAAAGAAAATACTTCTGCCGGATTAACCAGTCTAAATACCACCGTTTGTGACGCATTGAAAATCGATTGCCAGGAAGAGAGACGAGACGAGACCAAAGAAAATCAAGAGCAGAACGGACAACAATACAAAGTAAAATTGGGAGGAACGTTTGAAACGATTTCACAAAAAATCGGCAGGCAGCTGAGCGTTCGTTTGGTCAAAGAAATGGGCATTTTCGGGCAATCGTCGCCGTTTGACGCCGATGTGGGTAAGTCTGTCGCCCCTTGTTCCTATTGGAACCGAGCCCACAGTCCCCGTTATTTGGACTCTAATTCAATCTATGGAGATGCGTGCACCGTCAATACTCTCCAACCCCTTCCTGGCCCATCTCGTTCTAGTTGGGCAGACAACAAAGAAAACATGCCCCAGTCATGTGAGGGGATGCTGATGCTGTGCGCAGCTTTGCGTCGTTCGTTGAACTTATTTTCGAAGTTTTCAGCTGCAGTCGCTGACCTTGAGTGACGTAGGCCGCATAGACATGACTGTCTCTGTCATGCCACCCACACCTGCCCCTAATACAATTTGCAGCGGGTTCTATTGATTTTAGTATATTATAGATATTATAATCAATTCCGTTCCGCTTATCTTTGTTCTTGTCCCTTTATTTTGCTGAGTGAGTCACGTTAAATTGCTCGCCATACTGATAAGCCAGGGCCATTTCTTTGTTTTTTAACATATAGAAAAAGCCACCAGCGAGACAAATACGAACGACAACTGGTCACTGATTCTCGATGTGTGCGACAAGGTGTCCACAAATCCACGTCTGGCTAAGGATTGTCTCAAGGCGGTGATGCGGCGCATGGGCCACAACGATCCCCATGTTGTAATGCAGGCGATCACGTTGCTGGACGCCTGCTCCAACAATTGTGGCAAGCCTTTCCATCTGGAAGTGGCCTCGCGTGACTTCGAAACTGAGTTTCGAAGGCTGTTAAGCCGGGCAGAGCCGAAGGTGACGCTGGTAAATACACCTAACAATAACCAACGCGGAAGCGGCCTTAGCTAATCGTTTTCTTTTATTAATATTTGTGCATTCCAGAAAATGCGCCAAGTGCTAAAGAACTGGGCTGATAATGACTACAAGAACGATCGGGAACTGGAGTTGATTCCTGCCCTCATCACTAAGCTTCGTCTGGAAGGCTACGACTTTAAGAATCTTAGCGAGAAGAGTAGCAAAACAGCTGCTGAAAAGGCTGCCAGTTTGCCAAAGGATCCCAATGTCGTTAGCAGCCAACAAGAGGAGGATGACATTGCCAAGGCCATAGAACTGTCACTGAAGGAGGGCAAGAGTAGTCCCAAAGCGGGCAGTGGAGGTGTTGCGAGTGCAGGAAACACTAGTGCCTATCCATCGTTATATCCGTCGTTCGTAGGTGCCTCCAGCGGAACAAGTAACGATGTAAACCCTAACCAAAACCAAGCCCAAGCCCCAGCTTCCGAACCAAGAAAAGTTCGTGCTCTTTATGATTTTGAGGCTGCGGAGGAAAACGAACTCACTTTCTTCGCTGGCGAGATTATCCATGTGATGGATGACAGCGACCCTAACTGGTGGAAGGGCTTCAATCAACGAGGAGAGGGACTCTTCCCTTCGAATTTCGTCACTGCCGATTTATCTGTGGATCCCGAGCGCCTAGACATCAATCAGCAGCACAAGACGGGAGCGGCACAAAAGGATGGGGACTCTGCAACGACTTTGCAGCAAAAGACTGAAGCCGCCGCAGCAGCAGCAGGTGCTGCCTCTGCTCAGCCTGTGGAGATCGACGAAGCTAAGATTGATCGTCTCTTGCATCTACTCCATGAGGCAAATCCCGAAGATCCCTCGCAGGATAGCGACGAGATGCTTCGGCTGGAACAGGAGGTTCATCAAATGGGTCCCCTGATTGACGCCGAGCTGGAGCGAGTGGATCGTAAGCACGCCCAATTGACGCAGCTGTCGAGTGATCTCGTCGATGCCATAAATCTCTATCACGGTCTTATGAGAGATGATCGGGCTGTCGCGGGACAGTTTGCTGCAGCAGCTGGAGGCTTCATGCCGGGCTTAGCTGGCTTTCCAGGAGCCGCTCTGTACGGAGCACCTGGCTATCCCAGTGCGGGTGGCTTTCCTCCGCACCAAAATTATTCAGGAATGCACTCGCTTCCTTATGCCCCCGTACCCAACATCCCAACAAATACTGCGGCCCCGACAACAGCTCCTGCTGGTTACCTAGAACAAGGTCAGGTGCCGCTTACTTTTCAAAACGGACACGCCGCGCAGATGACCTGTAAGTGAAGCAGCTGTTGGTAGAGCATCTCTTTAAAAGGGATTGACCGATTAATGTCAAATAATTTATTTTCCAGCGCTACCACCCCATCTTCCACAGTTAAACCCGGCTGCATCTGTAGCCCAGCCCCTCTACAATGCCCAGGCAGCACCCGTATCCACCCACCAACAGCAGCAAGCACCGCCGCCACAGCAGAATCAGTCAAGCTACCAGCAGCAGCCGTTTGCCCGAGTTCCGCCCGCAGTTACACAAATGCAGCAACAGCAATCACAACCGCCGCCTCATGCTTACATGCAGTCGGGGCCTCCGCAGGGATATCAGCCCGGACCAACCCCACAGCAGCCCCAACCGCATCTGTATGCACCAAATGGATCGCCAGCAGTCACCCAACAGAGCTACGTGCCACAGCACCATCAGCATCAGCTTCCACCAAACGATCAATTTAGTCAGATACATCAACAAACGGCCACCATGGGCATGACGACGCAGTCCGCAGCTGCGCCTGGCTATCACATGCAGAACGATGCCGTCAAGAACAACATTCCTATCTACCAGCAGCAGTGGTAAACCCACCCCCCCAATAAATTTGAATCCTTCGCTTGGTTTGATTTAATTTGCCCAAAACGAACTAATTTCTATCTGTATCCTGTGATCACGACCGATCAGTCAAAAAGATGATAATTGTAAAAGTATAACTTGATAACTTCATAAATAGCAGAAGTTGTCGAATCTCTTTTATTTATATGATAAAAATCCTCCAGTCAAGCAAAGATACAATCTAGCAGCTAACCAAAAATGTCGTCGGCTTTGTCATGAGAAAAGCTGAAATATGTCCCCAAAATCAACTCTTCAGACACGTGAAAATAGTTTATAAAATGTTCCTTCATCTGTATTGTTTGCTTAATTTGTTTGTCTTTGGGTAGATTTTTCAATGTCCTAACAATATCTTTTATGGAAATGAGGTAAATGATTGGAAAGCGATTATATATATATAAAACATATAAATATTCTATATTCTACATACATTATGGGATAACTTTATTGAGTGCAAGAGAGATAACTTTTATATATTATGTTTATTGTATGCATTATGATCTGATAAGAATAACGAAAGAAATTAAAATCATTCGATACATTTAGTAAGTACATGCCTACCTACATTACCATCTGAAGCAGTGATTCTCATCGATCTTGTCCAGCATTTCGAGACGCAGTTGCAATATTTCCTTAAGCAGATTTCAGAGCTCATGATGTGACATATTTTTGCATGCAAAATAGATTGCGATTAAAAATATTCGAAATTCGTGCGCCCTTCGCCAATCTTATCTTATCGATCCATAAATGGATCCAGGAGCAGCATCAGCTGAAGAGCTCGGATCATACACACTCGATCGATCTCGATGCTAGAACTCGATGCTAGAACTAATGGGTAAAATAAGCATATCGTCTATTTCATTTTTAGTGGTGTTCCGTGCTTCCGGAACCATTTTTTTCAGCCAAAAACTTTTCAGCTTCTTCTACATATGTATGTCAATGCACTTTTCCGAGCGAATTGAAACATATTGCAGACAATCTTTGGCAGGTGTCTCCCACGCCAGCAAGTACGAGTATGCAACAATTTTTCAAACTTCTTGTTCACTGGGTAAATCCCACGAAATAAACTGTCAAACCATGAGAGCAGTCTGAGCCCTAGAAAATGCCAATGGATATGAAATATCTGGGAAAAAGAGACAAGCAAATCATGCAAATATTTGTGAATACCATTTCATCGATTCCGCAGCAGTACGAGTACACGAGCCGCCGGGCCTGCCTGTAAGAATGTTAACGAATGCATAGAAATTGTTTTAAATTAATTGGGTTTACTGACCTTGGCCCGCCCATTGTGTGTTCCCTCAGTGTTGCAGCTTCCGTTCGTTGTCAACTTTGATGGCGCTTTGCCCGGTTTCGTTCTCGATTTGATTATTCCGTTGGGTGATTTGCATTTCGCACTGTGCTTCGTTGCATCGTTCAGGTCGGATGGCATTAATCAGAAACAACTGGCTCAAGGACGCCTTCCTTTGCATGGGACGGTGACCCTTCTCTCCTACATCCTTGTCTCTGTCTGCCCCTGCTCCTGTTCCTGCTTCGACTTCGTCAGCTATTGGTTGTATACTTTTTTCCCGACACTTGGCAATAAAATCAAATGATGTGGGCATCGTAAAGCTTCGCGCCTCGCGTGTTTTCCTATGTCGTAAAAGGCTACACGCTACCGTTATTACGTTATGTATCGTATTCCCATTCATGTCGCTCATTGAAAATCCCTTGTAGAACCCCTTGCCCAGACCAGAGAGCCGAGCCCTGGCTTTCCGACTGTCGTTTGCGGGTTTTAAAGCGGCATAAATGATTCTCTTTTCTCATATTTTTTACCCGTTTTTGTTTTCGTGGCGAATGGCTCAAATATTTTTCGGCCATGTGCAAAGCGGTGAATATCTAATAAAAAAAAAATTGTTGAAAAACACGGAGAGAACTGGGGTAGAGACAAAATATTTATGGCTATTTGCTTTTGATATTTATTCAATGGTCTATTGTTCGCCGATAAGCTGTGAAAAGTTTTTGTTCCCTTCAGCTTTTCCTAATTTTAAAGTAACAGTTAGCTAGGACGTGGAAGACGGCGCTATTCCAGTAAAATGAAATAGCGAAGTCAACGCTTCAATGCTTCTAAACTGTTGAAATGTGAATGGTTAAACAGGAAAAAATACGATAAACACGATAAATCAATTGTATCCCAAGCTTGAGTTTAAATATTGGATTGATTTGAAGATTTTGGTAAAAATTAGTAAATTGAAGACAGCAATACAATGTACATACATCTAAATACATGTGAATGTATACTCGTCTGTATGAGTATCTTATGTATCTTAAGTAGCCCACTTGATCTGAAGTTGATCCATTGTTTAATTTGAAACATTAATGATAACAAACTCCAAATTATCCAAAAATTTTTCCAGGTGTTCAAGCCGCATTTATTTCAACAATTCTCATCTGTAAGATAGAGGCAATTTTTTAAGCCCAAACCACAAAATTGTACAAGAACATGTCAATTGTTTGCAATTTTTAAAATTGCGCGGACCATTATTTACCTCCACTCGCTCGGGTGCAATTTTCGAAGCATATGTTAGTGGCAGGCAGCCTCTGTAAACCATTTTCCACAAGGTCACGCTGCATTTTGTCTCATTATTTTCTTACGAGTAGCTTTGATGAAAATTTAGTTTGGAAATAAGAACACACATGAGCTTGCAAAAATTATACAAAGAAATTTTAAAAGTTAACGAGATTGGTCTTAAAGCTTTTTTAGTTTTGAAAATAATTGTGGGTTGAGCTCGTAATATTTCTTCGTTCCAAAGTGTAAGTAAGTGTAAGCGATCACTATTGAAGGATTTTCCAAAAGATTGATATGAAAAAATAATATCTAAATTGTACAATAAATACATACATATGTATAAGAATGTAATTCCAAATTGAAATTTTAATAATATTGGTTTGAGTATTAATTGAGAAATATCTGTAGTACATATAGTATGTACATTAGACTGAGCCAAACAACATTTTTTTTTAAATTTGATGGTAATATAAAAGTTTTTATTTTATTTAAAAAAAATTTTTAGAGTTTGCTACCGAATTTTTTTTAAATTTTTTACGAAAAAATTAAAAATTTATTGTTGCGGAAAGAATTGGATATATCGGTGAAATCGATTGCATATTTTTTGATGCCATTAATATTACACTACTCAACACGATTTTTCCTCAAGGAACAAAACCAACTTTTTATTAAAGATTTGGGGCTTAGAAATGGTTTGATGATATTTTTTTTTTTTTCTATGGCAGAACTTTTTTTTGCAGAATTTTTTAAATCTGGTATTTTTTTTTTAGCTTTTTTCAGAGGTAGCGATAGTTTTTTTCACATAACTTTAGTATCTTACGTCTGGTTGTAAAGAACTTTGCTATTTTGAAAAGATAATTAAAACAGCTAGAAGTTAAGCCCAAACACTCTGTGATTACAGCTTACCGTCTGGGAAATATAAAGCATTGAAATGCAAAAATGATGATTTTTGTGCGGTATTTTTTACGAAATTTTGACTTTGAAAACTCAGGAAAAGTCGAAAAAAAATTATATCTTGTGTCCTCTATTTTTTTGTGTATAGGTGCGTTAATTTGGCGTCGTTTAAGGTATCGCTCATTAAAATCTATGGAGAGACTTTGGAGCTAAAATTCGTTAACCAAACCTAAAATATGGAAAAAATGAACAAAAATACCTTTTTGGGCGGCGGGCCCACTGCCAATTGGGAACAAAGCAAACGAACAAGGGTTGTACATTTGGTACTTGATCGCGTTCCTTTGTTCCCAATTGGCAGTTGGGCCCGCCGCCTTCAAAAAGGTATTTTTTGTTCATTTTTTATATTTCCCAGACGGTAAGCTAAAATCATCAAGTGTTTGGGCTTACCTTGTAGCTGTTTTAATTATCTTTTCAAAATAACAAAGTTCTTTACAAACAGACGTAAGATACTAGAGTTATGTGAAAAAAACTATCGCTACCTCTGAAAAAAGCTAAAAAAAAAATACCAGACTTCAAAAATTCTTCAAAAAAAGTTCTGCCATAGAAAAAAAACCAATTCTTTAAAAAATTTTAAATCCCCATATATATCAGAAAAAGTCGGTTTGGATCCTTGGAAAAAAAAGTTCGATTTTGTCGAGTAGAGTTATTAATCAGTTATTGGCAGTAAAAAACGTACACAAGTTTTTGAGAACAAGTTAACTATCAACCTCAGCTGAACTTCCAGATTTTCACCAATCGTTAATTTGGAACAGTAAATAAAAAAATAATAAAAATATGTTACTATCATTATGAAATAGTTTCTAGGGTTCAATATTATTTGAAAAAAAACGAACAAATTAATTTTTTGTATGTATATTTAACCAAAAATGTATTTTCTTTTTGTGGTAGCAACCCCTAATCAATACACTTAAAATAAAAGCACTAATTTCAGGTAAAATTTGTTTTGAACGGCTGCAAGTTGACCGTTTATCCATAGATTTTAATGAACAATACCTTAAACGACGCTTAATTAATGCGTCTATCTAAAACTAAAAATGTTGGCCAAGAATTCTTTTTTTCGACTTTTCCCGAGTTTTTAAAGTCAAAATTTCGAAAAAAAAAATACCGAAAAAAATGATGAAATTTGAATTTGAAAGCTTAATATTTTTCAGGCGTTAAGCTGCTGATACATTTAGAACTGCAAAGTTCTATGCAACCAGATATAAGATACTTAAGTTATGTGAAAAATAGAAGCACTACCTCTGAAAAAAACCATGAAAAAAATACCAGATTTTAAAAATTCTTTAAAAAAAAACTACACCATAAAAAAAACCATAGTTCGTTAATAATTTTTAAGCCCCGAAATCTATCAGAAAAAGTTATTTTGGACCACAGCTTAATTCTAGTGTTGACTGGTGTTATTCAACTCATTCAGCAAACATTTTTGTTGGAATTTTCTTGATTACAAGTCCAAGGTAATTTCGAAAAAAAAGTTTTTTGGCCCAGCCTAGTATATGTACATATATGTATGTAAAATTTTAAATAAAACATGTACAGATAAATAACCCTATGCTCTATAAGTACCAAGTATAAAAATATCTGATCCGTTCTTAGATCGGAGAATATTTGGCGTAAAGTGTAAATGGTAGATTTTGATTTATCCCCGATTTCCTTGGTCATTTCTATTCCGCATATGCCACAGGATTTTTCTCCCGTTTTCCGCATGTTTCGCCTCAAGGCATTAATTAACGATACTACTCATCCCCATTTCATCGGACCCCACAAAAGCGGGTGAGCGGAAGTCGAACACACGAAGTCGAACAAACGGCTTGCATTGCATTTGGCCATGTTGTACTCCAACGAACTACATATGTATGTATAGTGCGTATTCAAACCATGGGCGGCGAGACGAGTGTTTGGTTCTAAATCACAAACATGGACACCCACTCATTCATACTCATTCATGGACACTCACTCCAGGCGCACGCTACGAGTATTGACTATGGCTGAAGTTGGACTGAAGTTGAGCCAATGAGTGATTGGAAAACTGTGAATGATTGAAGGCCTTTGT